ATGCTTCTCGATCCAGCTAGCCCAAGGAAGTCTTCCGCCAATCATACCGAAAGATATGCATTGCTTGTATTGGGAGGCTGTGACTGCAGGGGGGGAGAGTAGGGATGATGGGAGGGGATTAGGAGAGATAATTCGGTGTGGAGAAACCCGAATTGCTGTTTCAATAAACAGCAACTGAAGCTCACTTGCCTGGAGTAACGAGTTGATTATAGCATCTTGGTTTGGTGTGACAAAAGGTTAGATCATCAGGTGGAAGAGACAAATGTGTCAGCCTTTGCTGATATCTAATGTTACCGTATATAACTGATAGCAAAGGTAATGCAATAAAGACCTTGGTCCTAATGTCCTGCTGCTACTTCACTCTTCATGCCAAATAGAGAGGGAGCCTTCTCGGTGCTCATGTCTAACAAGCACAGCTTCACTCTGCTAGTCATCACACTCTTCATCTCAAGTGTTGATGTTTGTTGTCGCGGCAATCCGCGAGGTGAGATGTCGTCCACACACTCATTCAGCAGCCCATCCAGCAGCCCATCAAGCAGCCCATCCAGCAGGCCCCCCTGTCCCCGCAGTCCAGCAGGTGCCAAGCAGCCAGTGCCGCAGCAATTGCACCCCATCACCCCCAATCACCCCACGCGCACGCTCATTATCTCGTGTATTGACGTTCGTTGTCGGCAGCACTGCTCTCTTGCTCTCCATTCATCCACTCAGCAGCAAACGCACTGTCCAAAGCGGCAATCCCCGACATGACATAGTCCTCCACGCGCCCATCCAGCAGCCCTCCCCCGTCCCCCCCCTGCCCCAATCTATCACAGCAATCCCCGACATGAGATGGTCCTCCACACGCCCGTCCAGCAGCCCTCCCCTACCCCTTCCCCCCTCCCACCACACATCATCGCACGCACTCGTTTATCGCATGAAATCAAGCCCATCGTCCCCCATCTCAATGTCCGGATCTCCCCTCCTCCACGCGGCAGAGAACACGCAATCTGTCACAGCAATCCCCGACGTGAGATAGTCCTGCACGATCCCATCCAGCAGCCCATCGCCCCCCTCACTGCTCTCCACGTCTACCGGCTCCCTCAGCAGGCGAGTGAGCAGCCGGTGCCGCAGCGACCGCACCGAGCGGGATGCCTCGCTGCGGAAGGTCTGCCCCAACACCCCGTGAATGCCTTCCGTGTGCTGTTGGGGGGTGGGGGGAAGGGCGGGGAGAAAAGGTGGAGAGACCAGGTGAGCAGGCGAGTGAGCAGCCGGTGCCGCAGAGACTGCACCGAGCGGGACGCCTCGCTGCGGAAGGTCTGCCCCAACACCCCGTGAATGCCCTTGGTGTGCTGGTGGAGAGAGGTCGGGGGTGGGGTTGGATGGAGAAAAGGCGATGATCAGAAGAGGGCGAACCAAGAAGCAGAGTGAATAGGTCATTGTGAGTATGAGAGATGTGTCAATGCAGGGGGTCTGATCGAAAGCATGGCTTACGTCGAGCAACACAGCTTAAATTGAGATGCAAATTATGCACTATGACTTTTGAGGCGTCTCGAAGCTTACATTGAGCTGCACGATATGCACGTTGAAGTGCGCCTGAGCCTCAGTCGCAGTCTGCATGAGCGGATGGGCCACCCGCGCCGTTACCCCCAGATCCACCACGCCCTCTATTTTCAGGTGGAACTCGTCTTCTACCCTCCCGGGGCGGCTTCTGCTCTCCGCCAGCAGCAGCTTAAAGCCTCCGTTCGCGGAGATGGAACTCCCGGGGTAAAACGGAGGGGCCACTTCTTGGCCGTCGATCACCATCCGTTGGATGAATCCGGAGGCGCCTCGGCCCTGCTCCTTGCCGTCGCGCGCCTTGAGGAACGCCGAGTGCTGTGCGCCTGTCGCGTCGCGCCACATCACTTGAAGCTCCCTGGTGTGGGGCGGCGAGGGGTGAGACGGACGGTGAAGCAGAGAGGAAAATGATGAGAATCCGGATATATGAGATATGCTACAGGAAGATAGCATGACACTGGCACACCATGATCACGATACCGTGAACTGATGGCGCTGACGTAACGCGACTTGATGTAATGTGTCGTGACGTAACGTGACGTGATGAAACGTGACGCGATGCGACACCACCGACACCGATGCAACACACGCACCTGATCCAGCTGCGGATCGGCTTCCCTTTGAGCAGCCTTGCTTCCAGCTCGTGTTTCGCGTACTGAATCGAATTCAGCCCCTCCGATAGTTGAATCGCCGCAGGTACAACCTGATCCCCTCCAAGCTCCCCCGCATATTCCGCCGCCCCGCTGCTTCCGCGGAGCCTCCCCACCTCGCGCTCGAGCGCCTCTGCTACCTTCTCCGTCTCGGGTAAGCTCCCGTTGTCACGCATCCGCAGAAGCCCCGCCACTTCTTCCGCATTTAACCCCTCCTCCTGCAGCTCCTGAATATGACGTGGCTTAAACTCCTTCTCTGCCGCTTCCACTGCCGCGGCGAGTGTGTTTTCGTCCAATGACGTGGCAGTGCCTGGGAGGTTGGCGATCGGACGGTAGCCCTTGATCCCCATGTTGATGTGGATCCGACGGTCGGAGAGCAGGCAGAAGGAGCGGTCGAGGAGGCCGTTGAAGTCGAAGCGCGTTCCGTCCGCGCCTCGGAAATGCGGGTCGCCGTTGGTGTTGGCGAGGGGGTTGCAGATGCCGCCGATGTATGTTGGATCCACCTTTTTATCATAGTTAGTCGTGTTGAGTCCCGTTAGCGATCCCAGCAGGGTGCATACGTAAGGGTTACTGCAAGTTAGAGCGCGAAAAGAAGAGGCGTCGTTAGTAGATGATCGACGATGAAAGTGAGGACGTGCCGCCGTTGTGTGATATGGCCTTGGAAACACTAAAAAAACATATCATATATGCTTAATAAGCATATCAATATCACTATAACACGATACCGTCATCATGCTTACGTCAGCTTGCTCAGTCGCCAGTATTGGCAGTCGACTTTCGCGGCGCAGGCGCGGCAACAATCCGATTCAGAATTCGCGTTCTGCATGGTGGCAAACGGCAGGAGAGGGTAGATTAGAAAGCATAAAGCAAGTAGCATCATGCGCCACGGGCGAACTGGAGATCAAGAATGCAGAATAACATCATGCAAGTAGATCGACTGGAAGTCGCGGCGCGGCGGCGGCACAAGAGTAAAGTCCGGGTTACATTTTCGAGCAGCGGCCTGCGAAGAAAGCGATGGTCGAGAGTGAGAGAGGATTACAGTATTGCCGAGATTTTGCGGCGTGGTCGAGTCGAACACGTAGCGCTCGTAGTTGTAGGTTGCCGTCGTCGGGTAAGTAGGCCCTGAAGCCGTCATGTCCTGCGCGTCCTTGATGAAGTACCCCATTTTTAAGTTGGCGCAATCGTAGCATCCGCGGGTTGTGGTTATCGGTCCGTGCGCAGCGCTTTCTTGGGGGCTAGCCTCAATAGCCGGGGTGGCGAGCGCGATGAGGGTCAGGAGCCAGAATGCTGTTGCAGCGGTGGCGCTGCTGCGGCCACGTGTCATCGTTGCGAGCTAAGTAATGGTGGCGGACGCAGGAACTGGTTTAGATTTTCGCGTCTTCTGGGTTGAACCTCACAGTTTTGGAACAGTTACTCGGGCTCCCAGGATGACGGCGATGCGGTAATGAAGACAGTGGTGAAGGGTTTCAATGGTGTGTGCACTTCTGGTATTACTGGAAGGAAATGACGGTCCGCCATATATGCGTTTAGCAGTGGCTGGTTCTGAAGGATTCAGTGAGACGCTAGATTCATCAGGGATGACAGTGCTTGGCATGGGCGCACCGCGCATTTCTTGATTCAGATCGAATCACTCCAAATTTGCAGGCCGACTTTCGACGACTGCCATGCTGTCCTCAAATTGAGGCACGTCATCCCAGCTTGATGCGTCGTTTCCCTTGATGACAAAATTCAATCCAAGTCCCCGTAGTGTTAGTCAAGGCTTTGATAAACAAACGATCCAATTGTGTTTAGCTGTGTCAGCATGCTGTCAAGCCACTTTGTGGAACCCCCCAAGACTTCTGCATTGGGGTCAACATAACTGTAAGAAAACCAATGTCAGGCACCAGCTGGTGTCTGAAGGCACCTGCCCTGATTCAACGCTGAGAAAAAACTTAGGGCGTGTCCAGCGCGTACATTTACAGTTCATAAACCCATTCAGTTACCACATTTCCTATTGTAACACTGCATTTTACAAAAAGGTTGGACACGATCAGCTTCCGTTCACAAGACGGCACGCCCGCTGCGCGTACGACGAATCGTCTAACACACGTTACTGGAATCAGTGTGCGCGCGAACAAGGGTACAGCGTTGCGTCCTGCCCGCTACAGTAATTTTCGTTCAAGCGTGGAATTTTCGCTTGTGCGTGAATTTCTGTGCGATGATAGACGAGGCAACCAGTTACCTCGTTTTCCACGAACTGTAGAAATTTGTGTGCAGAGGGTTGTGTCCGCGCGCTGGAAGGCCCAAGCCTTCGGACTCGACTCACCTTATATTCGTTTTTTGGTACAGTGAGATTGTTTGAGCCGGGAAACGTGTGAAGGTACTAATATTCCCAAAATGTACGCGCTGGACACGCCCTTAGGTGGCCATTTGGTGTCCACTACCTACGGCTTTACTGGTGGCTTTGAAGGAGAATCCAAACCGACTTGGAGATTCTAAGGAATATCCAAACCGAGCGCTACCGACGCTACCAAGCGTAATATATTGGCAAGGAATCTGGCGTGTGAAATGCCCAAGACAATGCCAGAAGTGCGTGCCGGGGCGTGCCAGTGCGTGTACCAAAGTCATGGTGATTCGTGGTACAAATAGTTTTTGAACGGTGGAAGCTTCGAAACCCGGTGCACCGGGGCGTGCCGAGACGTTCCACACCACGTCCTTGTTGAGAGGCCTGGAAGTAAGAGTTTCATTAATGGCTTGGTTAGATGTGCGCGGGCACTGGAATGAAAACGAATCAGTAAAATACAAATAAAGAAAATGCAGTACTAATGCATGAGGTAACTAATTCCCATTACTAGCATTGCCTGCATGACCCTCAATCTGTCGCAATGCCTCGTACACTCCTACTCCTGCTGACACTGCCAGGTTTAAAGAGCGGACATATGTTTCGTCTATAGGAATGCGAGCAATCCCTCCTGCATAGTCCCCTTTTGAACACTCTGTGATGGCCTCTGGTGGCAAGCCAAATGTTTCAGCTCCAAACAACAGCCAATCACCCGGCTGATACTTGATATCCTGCAGAAGAATATACAACGGAGGGCCAATTATTTTGGAGTGATGGAAAAGGGACATAAAGAGTATGATGATAGAGTGGCATATGATGATGGTGTAATCCATCAAGTGTAGGTAAAAGCTTTCCCCCATGACCTTCCAAAGTCCCACCCTCGCTTCCACTATCCACTTCCTTCCCCTATCCTCTCCCTTCCCCTATCCTCTCCCTTCCCCTATCCCTTCCAACACCATCACCCGTCTCCCTCCCAACCACCCTTGCTAGTCACATCTCACATGGTGGGGAACAGAGCCTCGTTTGGAAAAGGCAATCAGCCGCTTGGGCTCCGGCTGTTGGCAGAGGAGGGGAGGGCGGCAGGCAGAGAAGGGGTTGTGGGAATCTTAAAAGTGATCCAGCATAGCCCATCTGCTAGGTTGAGGGGCAATCAGCTGCTTGGGCTCACTTGCTGCCTGAAATACTCCATGAACGCCCCCCAGCTGTCATGCACGCTCACCACCATGTAGGGCCAGTAGTCCAGCCCTGCCCTCTTAAAGTTTGAGTCAACTCAAAGAAAACTTGAAGTCGACTCAAAGTCGACTTAAAAGGCTCACCTGCTGCCTGAAATACTCCATGAATGCCCCCCAGGTGTCGTGCACATTCACCACCACGTACGGCCAGTAGTCCAGCCCTGCCCGCTTGAGCTTCGAGTCCGTTATGTCAAATCCTAGAGGCTGGAAGGCAGGGAGAGGACGAGCAGGGCTATAAGGAATTTGTTTTGAGCCATCTCGAAACAGCTGCGTGCACGTTCAACACCACGCACCAGCACACCCAACTTTCCCTCTCCCGTTCCCCCAACCCAAGCCTCCTCCCACTGCCCCATCCCATGCGAGACATACCCCCACCTTTCGCTCTCCTGTTTCCCCCAACACGCACCCACCTTCACCAGGTGCAGTGGAACGGCCGTGGCAGCACATGTGCGGGCAATGGACCCTGTGTTGCCGGGGATCTGTGAGTGAGTGTGTGTGGGGAAGGAGGAAAGGAGGAGTGGGGAGGAGAGAGGGGATTTGACAATGGCAAGCAGCACACGTGTGTGAGATGGACCCTGTTGTTGCTGGGGATCTGTGAGTGTGTGCGTGGGGGAGAGGGGAAAGGGAAGAGAGGCGGGGAAACATGATGCATGGCAATAACGAGTGGCACATGTGTGCGCAATGGACCCTGTATTGCCGGGGATCTGTGAGTGAGTGTGTGTGAGGAGGGGGAAAGGGGGAGGAGAGGGGACTTGACATAGAAAGCTGTCTTGCATGCACACGTGCGGGCAATGGGCCCCGTATTGCCTGGGATCTGTGAGTGAATGTGTGTGGGGAGGGGGGAAAGGGAGAGGGGAGGGGAGGGGATTTGACAATAACTAATGCTATATGATTTGAGGAAGGGGAGTGTGATATATGACGATAACGAATGCTGTGCCTTTACACAGGCATGCGATGCGGCACATGTGTGCCCAACGGACTCTGTGTTGCCAGGGTGTGAGTGAGTGGGGGAGCGGGGAATGGAGGAGGGGACGGGGATTGATGATGGAAATTTGACTTGTGCCACACCACATGTGGGGGCCATGGTCCCTGTGTTGCCAGAGATCAAAGTGCGTGTGCGTGGGAGCGGGGAGGGGGGAGGGGGGAGGGGGGAGGGGGAATCGGGGAGGGGGAATGGGGAGGCTGGGAAATGCGTGAGCCAATCACCTGAGGACACACAAGCACCACGTTAAGCGGCTTCTTCACTTGACCCTTCCCCACTTCCACCTTATCTCCAACCACCTCTCCTCCTTCCCCTTTCACTCCTTCCCCTCTCTCCTCCTCTCTTCTTCCCTCCCCCTCCAGTCCGCTTTCGTTAGAGTCACCCTTGGCATCGATGTCGTTCGAGTCATTTTCGCTAGTATCACTCCCTTCTAGCCCACTTCCGGCTCGTTTCAGGCTCCATCGCTCCTCCCCAGAATTCGCCACTGCACAAACCCTGAACCCCCTCCGCGCCTCCTTGCACCCTCTGCTACCCTGAACCCCTCGCCTCTCCTCCTGCTGCCGCCTCTCCTGCTGCTGCCACGTCAGCGGCCTCAGCCCCCATGAGCTACGCGATCTAATCGAATGTGAATCAATATCCCGCCTGGCGCGCAAGTCCGCGCGCGAAAAACAAGCGGCTGAGTTCGCGCACGGGGAATTCGCGCGGTTACTGGCGCGGGGAAGAAGTAATAATGCGCGGGAGTTGCGCACTACAGCTGGACTGGCGGGCGCGGGATATTGCCGCGAGCTGCACGATTGCGCGGCGCGGGCAGTTATTAGCGCGACAGAGCGCGGCTGCGCGGCGCATGGGACCCTGGCTTTAATCCAATACATTGCGGACGACCGCGGCGCACCTTCCCTGCACCGTCCCTGCACGGGAGGTCTGCTGGATTTTTGGATCGAGAGGTAATGGCAAGGGGTGTTTATCTCCCGTGATTCCCCCGCGCGATCGGCGGAACCTTCGGGTGAGAACGACTCAAGTGCATAGCTTGAGAAGCTGAGTCAAGTGGCGCGATTTTGTCGCTCGATGGGCAAATCTGGCCACAAGGCAAATTTGGCAGAGGCACACGTGAATCCTCGTCACACGAATAACCGCGATAACATAACGGTTATAGAAAAAGAATGTTGCTGAGTAAGCCGGCTTCAAAATAGAAACCTGCTTGTCAGAAAATAATCACTGGTTTAATAATCATCCACGTGAACTTCAACCACCTCTCAATCTTCATAATAATCACCGTCTTTGTCATCACCATCATCGTTGCCACCTTTATCATCATCATAGTCATCAGATTCCAGGTCGTAACTGAGTGCAGCGATGACGTGGCGAGTGGTGGGCAATGCCTCGCTGACACGTGGCAAGTGCCAGGGCGCGGGGGCCACCTTGCTGTAGAACCAGGGTGATACCGAGTCGTTGAACTGCTTAAAACGCGGATTTAATATTGCCTCCCAGTCCACCTGGTTTATGAGAGGAGGCGAGGAGAGTGAAGGACGGGGGGGAGGGCAGGGGGGAGAGACTAGGCGAGGGCATGTGGTGAAGGAAAGGGAGATTGGAGACGGCATGGTAGAGCACGACACCCGACTAGCTGTACAGCCAGGGCGATACCGAGTCGTTGAACTGCTTAAAACACGGATTTAATATCGCCTCCCAGTCCACCTGGTTGAAGAGAGGAAGAAGGTGGGGCAGGAAGGAAAATCAGGTGACCAAGGGAATGTGGTCAAGAAAAGGGCGGGTGCAGAGAATGCACCCCCATCTGCAGCTCCCCCTCCCACACGCGCTGGCAGTTCCGCTGCACAATGATTGCCCATGTGGTTGTGACCGTGGCTGGCATATAGGCTAAGCTGAGATTTTCCCTCCCTACCTGCTCACACCCCACTTCGTCCCAACTCAGCGTCTTCCAAAAAAGCACAAAGGAGAAGGCACCTGAACGTCTTTGGGGATGAGTGAAAGCGTTTCCATGCAAGCAGCAAGGGAGAGGGAGGGAGCGGGAACAGCAGAGCATGGGTAACCACTCACTGCCAACACTCCCACTCCAGCCCAACTGAGTGCGCACCTGAACGTTCTTGGGGATGAGTGAGAGCGTCTCCATGTCAGCAGCCAGGGAGAGGCCGAGGATGGAGATAATGCCAACCATCGCCGACCCACGGGTGAGCGGCATGAACTGATACCAGTAGTACCCCATCCGCAGCACGCCCTCCCTCACGCGCCGCCGGTACTGGTGCACATCGGTGGCCCGCAAGTGTGTGTCTGTGGCTGCGTCACTGAGCTCCTCCCATGTCTTCTGAAGCTCCTGGAAAAACTCTGCGCTGCGCTCGGGGGTGACGGCTGTACGAATGGTGAAGTCATATGAGCCTGGGGCAGGGGGTGGGAGTGGGAAAAAGGGGCAGTGCCGCATTTGCGCGTCTGTGGCGGCCTCACTGAGCTCCTCCCATGTCTTGTGCAGCTCCTGAAAGAACTCTGCACTGCGCTCGGGCGTGACGGCCTTGGGAATGGTGAAGTCGTAGGAGCCTGAGAGGGGAAGGGAGGAGGGGTTGATGAGTGGTTAGGCCATAGGAACTTCGGGTTTACAAGAGGGTGTTAATCAACCAGGCTGAATATACAACAATGGGGGATTCTGGTCTGATCCATGCTTAAAAGTTGGAGGTACAGTGGGCCAGCAGCAGCAGGCAGTACTTGGCGACTCAAATCAAGAGACAGCCTTTGAAGCGCCTCAACAACAGGTGCACGGCACAACAACTGCCAGGTGAGGGGCAATACCGGAGGCCTCCACGAGAGTCAGTTGGGTGCTGTTCATCACTTTTAAGGCACCTCAAATAGCGGCAGGCAGGGGGGGGGTCACTGCAGCAAAGGGGGGGGAAAGGAGGGGCAATACCTGAGGCCTCCACAAGGGTCAGCTGCGTGCCATTCATCACTTTTGAGGCGCCTCAAATAGCGGCAGGCAGGGGGGGGGGTCACCGCAGCAAGGGGGGGGAAGGAGGAGGGGCATTACCTGAGGCCTCCACGAGGGTCAGCTGCGTGCCGTTCATCACTCGCCCCGGAAACGCCTCGCTGTAACACTGAGTGGTAACATAGAAGTTCTCCCCCACCACACGGTGTAAATCCCCAAAGTCCCCCGCCGCCTCAATCGCCCTCCCGTGCACCCGCCGCGGCACCGGCAGCGGCCAGTTGGTCGCATTCGACGCCATTTCAGTCTCCAGCAGAACGGATCTCATAACTTCAAACGCCCAGTCCTGAAAGGGGTAGTATTTTAAGTTGTGCATTTGCCCGACCCGCATGGCTGTGATTGTACCGAAGCCCTTGGGGTATTCGTTTTTGAGCTGGTCGATCCATGTGATTGTATCGCAGGGTTCCGCATGCTGCCTCCACCTTATGATCCCATCGAACATGTCTCTCCACCCCGAGATCAGCTGTGCACCGTTGGATTGGCCGGATGAGCCGGCGGGCTTATCTCGGCCCTTGGATCTCTTTCCTGCTGCGGATGATTGGAGGGACACTCGGGGAGTCTTTCGTCGGGACCCTCTATGTGTGCCCCTCCCACCCGACCTACTGCCCGTGCTGCTCCTTCCTCTACTGCTCCCTTCGCTATTGTCACTATCACTATCCTCTGTATCCCTTTCATCACCATCATCACCATTACGACCATCGACCCTACTGCCATCAGCCCTCCTCCTCTGCGCTGCTTCATCATCCCCTAGTCCTTCACCCTCCCCCTCCCCGTCCCGATCCCTCGCCTTCCGTTCCCCAATCATATGCTGCCACGTGGCATTCACTCTCTGCATCAGATCCAGGGCGGCAAGCCCCGCCATGCGGTGTTGTCTTTTGTGCGGCATGAAGCCGTCCACAAAGTACTGCGTGCGCCGCCCGATTTCGTCCGCTTTGGCAATTAAAGCCCGCACTTGGGGGGAGAAGCGGATGCGAGGGGGGTTGCGAACCAGGCGGATGGGGAGGGGGCGGTAGGCGGGGAGGATGGAGAGGGGCGACTGCTTTCGCACCCATGCTTCCTAGTAGGGGGAAACGGGAGTACAGGGGAGATGTGGGGAGGGTAAGGGGAGAGGCGGATGGGGAGAGGGCGGTAGGCGGGGAGGATGGAGAGGGGCGACTGCTTTCGCACCCATGCTTCCTAGTAGGGGGAAACGGGAGTACAGGGGAGATGTGGGGAGGGTAAGGGGAGAGGCGGATGGGGAGAGGGCGGTAGGCGGGGAGGATGGAGAGGGGCGACTGCTTTCGCACCCATGCTTCCTAGTAGGGGGAAACGGGAGTACAGGGGAGATGTGGGGAGGGTAAGGGGAGAGGCGGATGGGGAGAGGGCGGTAGGCGGGGAGGATGGAGAGGGGCGACTGCTTTCGCACCCATGCTTCCTAGTAGGGGGAAACGGGAGTACAGGGGAGATGTGGGGAGGGTAAGGGGAGAGGCGGATGGGGAGAGGGCGGTAGGCGGGGAGGATGGAGAGGGGCGACTGCTTTCGCACCCATGCTTCCTAGTAGGGGGAAACGGGAGTACAGGGGAGATGTGGGGAGGGTAAGGGGAGAGGCGGATGGGGAGAGGGCGGTAGGCGGGGAGGATGGAGAGGGGCGACTGCTTTCGCACCCATGCTTCCTAGTAGGGGGAAACGGGAGTACAGGGGAGATGTGGGGAGGGTAAGGGGAGAGGCGGATGGGGAGAGGGCGGTAGGCGGGGAGGATGGAGAGGGGCGACTGCTTTCGCACCCATGCTTCCTAGTAGGGGGAAACGGGAGTACAGGGGAGATGTGGGGAGGGTAAGGGGAGAGGCGGATGGGGAGAGGGCGGTAGGCGGGGAGGATGGAGAGGGGCGACTGCTTTCGCACCCATGCTTCCTAGTAGGGGGAAACGGGAGTACAGGGGAGATGTGGGGAGGGTAAGGGGAGAGGCGGATGGGGAGAGGGCGGTAGGCGGGGAGGATGGAGAGGGGCGACTGCTTTCGCACCCATGCTTCCTAGTAGGGGGAAACGGGAGTACAGGGGAGATGTGGGGAGGGTAAGGGGAGAGGCGGATGGGGAGAGGGCGGTAGGCGGGGAGGATGGAGAGGGGCGACTGCTTTCGCACCCATGCTTCCTAGTAGGGGGAAACGGGAGTACAGGGGAGATGTGGGGAGGGTAAGGGGAGAGGCGGATGGGGAGAGGGCGGTAGGCGGGGAGGATGGAGAGGGGCGACTGCTTTCGCACCCATGCTTCCTAGTAGGGGGAAACGGGAGTACAGGGGAGATGTGGGGAGGGTAAGGGGAGAGGCGGATGGGGAGAGGGCGGTAGGCGGGGAGGATGGAGAGGGGCGACTGCTTTCGCACTCATGCTTCCTGGCAGGGGGAAGGGGGAGTGCAGGGGGAAAGGATAGGGGGTTTGAGATGTGGGGGGGGTTGCGTACGAGGCGGATGGGGAGGGGGCGGTAGGCGGGGAGGATGGAGAGGGGCGACTGCTTTCTCACCCATGCTTCCTGGTTGGGGAAATGGGGAATGTAGGGGAAATGATAGGGGGTTTGAGAAGGAACTCAGAGTGTGTGTGCCAGGCAATCAACGTGCACACTTGGGGATGGAAGGAGGAGATGTGGGGAGGGTAAGGGGAGAGGCGGATGGGGAGGGGGCGGTAGGCGGGGAGGATGGAGAGGGGCGATTGCTTTCTCACCCGTGCTTCCTGGTGTGTGTGCGGTACGCCATAGGGATTTTTGAGAAAGAAACGAAGGGGGCACAGAAGGAAAGGAGGGGAGGATAGTGGGGCAATAGGCGAGACGGGGGAGTGGGAAATGTGTGGGACTGGTGGACGACAGTGTGGGAAAGCTTATCGTTCGAAAGGCAGTGTGGTGAACCAAGGAAGTTGTGAGTGAGTGACAATGGGCGAGCAGGAGGGGCACACCTTGAGCTCATTGTGGAGCTCGTAGTCCAGGCGGAACTGTGCAAAGGGCAGATCCAGCCATGCAGTGTGACGAGATGCCCTGTGACGAGGTGCCTTGTGAGTCAACACACTAAAGCTACAAACAGGAGGGGTACGCCGCACACCTTGAGCTCATTGTGGAGCTCGTAGTCCAGGCGGAACTGAGAAAAGGGAAGATCCGGCAACGCACTGTGACGAGGTGCCTTGTGTCGTAACGGACAAGGCAACCTGTTAGCCGACTCAAAGTGGACACAAGGACGCACCTTGAGCTCGTTGTGGAGCTCATAGTCCAGGCGGAACTGAGAAAAGGGAAGGTCCAGCTTGGATAGCGTGTAGGCTGCTATCTCCCTCTGGTGGTGGATGGGATGGGGAGGGGGAGGCGAGGAGAGAAGGAAAGGTGGGTCAACAAGTTCAGGTTGGCTATTGGGTGGCAGGCAGTGCACTTACATCTCATAAGGGCAATGGCCCTCGGATGGTTTATGGCAGCAAACTATGGCATCAACGGAAGAGCAGGGAAGGGGACGAGGGCAACGGGTGTGTGAGCAAAGAGTGCAACGGGCAGGTACAGCTTTGTGCCAGCATTGGGCTGACCGCCAGCACCACACAGCACTGCACAGCACCAACCAGCACCGCACGGAACCGCTCCGCACCTGGTAGAACGCCATGCCCTGGAGAGTGCCAGTGTTGCTGTCTGTGGGCGAGAGGCCGAGGATGTTGGAGTACTGATGCAGCTGCGGATGGGTAGATGAGGAGGGGGACAGAGAAGGGGGCGTGGAGAGTGAGTGATTGACACAGCAGCAAACCACCAGGGAGAGACAGAGGCCGAGGATGTTAGAGTACTGGTGCAGCTGCGCATGGGTAGATGGGGGAGAGGGAAGGGGGGGTGGAGGGTGTGCGGAGTGAGTGAGTGAATGACACCGCAGCGAATAACCAGGGTGGGCGAGAGGGCGCAGATGTTAGAGTACTGATGCAGCTGCGGATGCATAGCGGCCAGAGAGGGGGGTGGAGGGTGGAGGAGGAATGGCGGAGTGAGTGAGTGATTGGCTGGCATAGCACAGGGAGAGGGCACAGAGATTGTGAAGAGAGACCACACAAGAAGGACACAGCTAAGCGAGCAAGGTGATTGGGAAGGCAGATTGAGACTTACTGCTTGGGGGTGGACTCAGAATTCACTCACTGCTGCCTCGAAGTCACCCAGTGCATGGTGTGCAGAAGCTTCCAGGTAGTTGAGCTCGATGTCGTTGGGGTTGAGCTTCAATCCCCTCCTCGCTGTGCTTATCACCTCCCTGCGTCAATGGTGGTCAGTGGGGAGTCAAGGGGAGTCAAGGGTGGGATTTGGGGAGTCAAGGGGAGTCAAGGGGAGTCAAGGGGAGTCAAGGGGAGCACGGGAAGTCAAAGGAAATCAAGAGGAGCCATAGTAAGCCAAGAAGAGTGAAGGGGAGATCAACAAAAGACAACAATTGTCAACAAGAGTCAACGAGAGTCAGAAGGAGTCGATAGCAGGCATTTCATTCATGGAGAATAGCTGAGGCCGATAAAGGCCCGCATATACGGAAACCAGGAAATTTGAGCGAGGTGAGAGTGAGAGTCACTAAGGGCTGCCCTCAGCTCAGCCTCACCTGTGGCGGCCCACTAGCTGCATGAGGGACGTGAGGCGGATGTACGCCTCCAGGGTGCTGGGGGGAATATGGGGGGAGGAAGGGGGGAGATTGGGGGGAGAATGGGGGGAGGTTGGGGGGAGAATGGGGGAGGGACGGGGGGGAGATGTCTCGGATGAGGGGATGAAGGAGTGTGAGGAGAATGGTGGCATCGGTGGTAATGAAAGGATGGATGCAGAGAGCGTTGGGGCTGAGACGGTCCCAGGTGGATTCCTCTTGAGATCATGGGGGAAGAACAACAAGACAAGGTACGGAATATTCATTTCAGTCTCTTCCAGACAGCCCCACTCTCTGCGTTCACCTCCTGCACTTCCAACCCCAATCTCCCAACCCAGCTCGACCGCTCTCTCAGCCCCAAATTGCACGCTCCCCCACCCCTCACTCACTCTTCCAGCGCCAGTGCCTTGTGAAGGGCAGCAAGGGCCAAGTCAACTTACCCAGCTCCTTGTGCACTCGGCCCTTCTCCGTCCACACCACAGGTGGGCCGACATTGGGTGGCACCTCTCTTCAAACCCCCACTCACTGTCCCACACGCTATTCACTCTTCCAGAGCCAGTGCCTTGTGAAGGGCAGCAAGAGCCAGGTCCACCTCCCCCAGCTCCTTGTGCACACGCCCCTTCTCCGTCCACAGGTGCGCCAACATCCGGTGGCGTTTCACTGCCTCTGCTCCCAAACCCCCCTCACTCTCCCAACCCCACTCATGCTCTCCCAACCCCCAATCTCCCTCTATCCCAGCCCAGCTCGCCCTCTCTCCCCCACCCCCCACTCACTCTTCCAGCGCCAGAGCCTTGTGAAGGGCAGCAAGAGCCAGGTCAACCTCCCCCAGCTCCTTGTGCACGCGGCCCTTCTCCGTCCACAGGTGCGCCGACATCGGGTGGCGTTTCACCGCCTCCGCAAACACGGCACTCGCGTTGCGCCACTGCCCTGCCCCTGCCAGGGCTATGCCCTGTGGTGGGGGGAAGGGAGGGGGGGAAGAGTCGAGAGGGGAGTGAGGGGGGAGGGGAAGGGTTGAACTAGAAGGCCTGGCATCACGAGTTGCCTCACCACCTCGCTGAATATGGTGCTCACATTGCGCCACTGCCCTGCCCCGGCCAGGGCTATGCCCTGTGGTGGGGAGGAGGGTGGGGATGAGGGTGGAGAGGTGGGTGGGGAGGAGGAAACGGAGCCTTGACTGTCAGGCCAGGCCAGGCATGGTGCCTCACTGCCTCGCTGAACACGCTGCTGGCGTTGCGGCAGTGGCCTGCCCTGGCCAGGGCTATGCCCTGGGGGGAGGAGGAGCGAGGGGAGGAGGGTGGGAAGGGGGTTGGGAAGGGGGGTGGAGAGGAGGGTGGGGGGAGGAAGGGAAGGGTTGACTGTAAGGTCAAGCATGGCGCCTCACCCCAGTGGCGCTGAACATGGTGCTCGCGTTGCGCCAGTGGCCTGCCCCCACCCAAGTCTATGGCCTGTGTTTGGGATGGGTCATTGCAGGCCAGTAGGTCAAGAGCAGGGGTTGATGCCTTGGCAGAGATCAACAAAGGCGATTATGACTCAGGTCATGACAGGTCAGCACAAGTCAATGCAGGTCAACGCAGGTCATTGCAGGAACGGAGGTTGGTACCTTGGCACGGATGAGGTAGGCATCCATGGGGCGCATGTCAAGCGCCCTGGAGAGATCAGCGATGGCCATGCTGTACAGGTGTATGTGGAAGGCGATGATGCCTGCATGGGTATAGGGGGAGAATGAAGTTGGTTGGGAGGGAAGGTCACAAAACGCAACGGCTGAAGGTGGAAGGCGGGATTGCCTTCTTTGGAGCACAGGTGAGGGGAGAAGCGGGTTGGTTGGAAGGTTCACATCTGGCAGCATGCATGCCTCACACCCCATCGACCAGCACACAAGCCTCACCTCGGTGCTGCAGCGCGTCCTTGGTTGTCGGGTTCAATCTCCAGCGACCGACTCAAGTCCTCCACTGCCTGCTGTTAGGGATGCCATGCCATGCCATGCCATGCCATGCCAAGGGTGCAGCATCACACTCCCTCGGCCAGCACAGTGCCTCACCTCGGTGTTGCAGGGCGTCCTGGTGGTTGGGCTCAATCTCCAGCGACCAACTCGGATCCTCCACTGCCTGCTGTTAGGTGCGCCATACCATGCTATGCCATGCCGTGCCATGCCATGCCAAGGGTGCAGCATCACACTCCCTCGGCCAGCACAGTGCCTCACCTCGGTGCTGCAGGGCGTCCTGGTTGTCAGGCTCTATTTCCAGCGACCGGCTCAGATCCTCCACTGCCTGCCATGCATCGTGGTATGACATCGTGATGAGACGAGGGATGGGCAGGCAGAGGTGCACAAGAGGAGAGGCAAGGAGGTCGTGGCATGAGGGTTGCTGAAGGGCGTCAAAAGTCGTCTCAAATAGACCGAGTTGTGAGACGACTCACCGTGTTCCCACATGCACCCACCCACCCACCCACCCACTCACTCACCGATGCACTCACACACTCACTCAACCCCTTCCACATCCACATGGACACGCACCGTCTCACGCTCGTTCCTCTCAATGTACAGCATGGCCCTCCGCCGGTACAGCTCTGCACTCCTGGGGAAGCGCTGAATGCCCTGTTGTGTGAGTGAGTGGGACAGCAGAGGGGTGGTGAGGCTTAAGTCAACCTGTGAGTCACTCAATGTGCAGCATGGCCCTCCACCGGTACAGCTCCGCACTCCTGGGGAAGCGCTGGATGCCCTGTGGGACAGCAGAGGGGTGGAGATGGGGAGCACAGGGGTGGTGAGTGGTGGTGAGTGGCTAGTGTCAAGTCAATTTGGGAGGAGTCATGCTGGGAGTCACTGAGTGTGCAACATGGCCCTCCGCCGGTACAGCTCCGCACTTCTGGGGAAGTGCTGAATTCCCTGTGGTGTGGGTGGGGCAGCAGAGGGGTGGTGAGAGGTGGGGAGTGGTGAGGCTTAAGTCAACCTGTGAGTCACTGAATGTGCAGCATGGCCCTCCGCCTGTACAGCTCCACTCTTCTGGGGAAGCGCTGGATGCCCTGTGGTGTGGCGACAGCAGTGGTGGTGATGGGATGGGAGAGATATGTGGATAGACATGGGGATGGGGATGGGGATGGGGATGGGGATGGGGATGGGGATGGGGATGGGGATGGGGATGGGGGGTCAGAGGGAAGGGAAAAAGAAAGGCACGGTGAGGAGAAAAAGAGGAGAGGAAGGAGGGGGATATGGACACATAATAACTGCGTTGCGATGCACCATGCACACATCATAACCATGCGATTCCACGCCATCCCATGCCATGGCATGCACCATGCCATCACCACCAACACTAACCCGCAGCTGACCTCTGTAAAGTCGTCTTCTGCTTCGTCCAGGCGCTTGAGCATCAGGTGGCAGAGGCCCCTGCCGATGAACAGCTGGTCTGACAGCTCGCCGCCCTCCGCTTCCACCTGTGAGGGAGGGGAGAGAGAGGGGAGGAAGGAGGAAGTATGTGAGACGCTCATCCCCCTCCGCTTGAGCATCAGGTGGCAAAGGCCCCTGCCGATGTACAGCTGATCCGACAGCTCGCCTCCCTCTGCTTCCACCTGTGAGGGAGAGACGGGACGAGGGAGGAGGGAGAAGGAAGAAGGAAGGAGGGAAGACCGGAAAGGTGGAGAGGGTGTGTAAAGGACGACCTCTAATTCTGAGGCGCCTCAAGGGGAGGTTAGAGGAGGACGAGTGGGAGGGGAGGGGATACAATGGAGGTGGACGGGACCAGTGTGAAGATAGCTCTTTCAGGCGCCTAATAAGGGGAGGTGCAGAGGAGGACGAGTGGAGGGGAGACAGAACAGGGTGGAAAGGGATGTGGTAATAGGAAGGGGAGCGGGAAGCGAGGTAAACGACTTTTGAGACGTCTCAAAAGAGGGGGACGAGTGGGAGGGGAGACAGAATAGGGTGGAAAGGGATGTGGTAATGGGAGGGGAGCGGGAAGTGGGGTAAACGACGTAAGGGAGGAATAGGCGAGGGGTTGAGTGCGGTGAGTTGGTCGAGTGAGCCAGCCACAGCAGAAAGAGAGAGTGGAATAGGCATGCGAGGGGTAGACCCCCAGATAAAGTGAGTGAAGGCGAATCAGAGAGCCTGGTGGGGAGTGGAGAGTGAGTGGGGTGGGCTCACGAGCGAGAGTGAGTGGGGTGGGGTGGGGTGGGCGCACCTGGTTGAAGAGGTTGATAGCTTCCTGGAACTTAGGAGTGGTAAGGAGATTACGAGTTGTGTGGTGAATAGGGATAAGGGAGGAAGGAAGTAAGTCGTGAGGGAAGGGCGCACCTGGTTAAAGAGGTTGATCGCTTCCTGGAACTTCTTGGCTTGCATCTGAGGGAATAAGATCAAGCCACGATTGGGAAGAGCAGGGACGTAATGAGTTGAGAGTGCTGGAAGGATGCCTTGTAGTGTGGCATTGTGGCATGCGAAGGATGGATGGCATATGCTGCAATGCAGGGTGGAATATGCGAGTTTACTTGCTGATTGCAGCACTTACCATGCTGATGGCTGCTCGAATCATCATCTCCTTGTTCACATGCCCGCCTTGCTTCTCCTTCTCACGCCCCCCTTCCTTCCCCTTGCCCCCTCTCCCCTTTTCCCCAGCCCCACCACTACCACCACCACTCCCCTTCTCATCCCTGCTTTCACTTCCCTTGACTGTCGGCTTCGCCTGCTCCCTCCCTTTCTTCACTCCTTCCCTTCCTTTCAATCCCCTGTCACTCTCCTCCTCACCCTCCTCCTCTCCCTCGCGCCTCCTGGTCGTTTCATGCCCTTTTTGGGCCCCACTGCCCCCACGTCCCTTCTTCTGCGCCCCCCCATGTCCCCCTCTTTCCGACGCATCTCCTCTCTTCCCCCCCTTCTCAACGTTTGCTTCTGAACTCCCCACCGCTCCTCTGCGCCCCCCCTTGCTCTCCTCCGCAGCTCCCTTTCCCCCACCGCCAGCCAAGCCACTCTTCCCCCCATCCGCGCGCATCAGGGCGCACAGGTCCGCTCCCCCCAGCAGCAGCTTCCCCCCGCGGCCAGAAGAGGGGGAATCGCAGGCGGGGGGAGGGGGAGCAGAAGGGGAAGGCGGAGAAAGGAGTTTGAACAGCTTGGTTCCTGTGGTGGGAAGGGAGGAGTTGGAATGGCGGAGAATGGAGACGAGGAGGGGGAGGAAAAAAATCGAGTTCACAAGGCGCAATGGTTGTCGAATGCCGCAATGGTGATGAGAGAGAGAGATGGTGGTGCAATGAGACGTCTAAAAAATGCAAGGAGAAAGACAGTGGAGAACATGGCATGGGGGCAGGTCACAGGTGCATGGGGGGGAGTTAAAGGGGAGGCGGGTAGGGGGGGCGGGGGAGGTATGGTTGATGGGAGGGGAGGGGTGTGGGGTGGGGAGGTTGTGAGAGCACTGTTGGCGTACCCTTTTTAACCAAAGGGAGGAGGCAGGTGCGGATGCTCCTGCGTTGGTGATCCTGGCGCTGTGCTGCGGTCCTCTGTTTTGGCACTGATGCAATCAGGTGCATTTCCCAGTCGCATAAACCGGGACTCCTGCACATGACGTGGCATGTCAGGGGGTGAAGTGGCATGATGGGGGTGAAGTGGCATGATGGGGGTATTGGAAACACGATGACATGACAGCCAGGCAACAAGGGAGACAGAACAAGGGACTGCATCAGAAGAATTGCCTTAAAAACTCAAAGCAAGGAGTGCAGGCGAATGGGGAAAGCAGCGGAATGGGGATGGGAGGAACGGGGAATGCAGGTCAGCGGAATGGGGATGGGAGGAACGGGGAATGCAGGTCAGCGGAATGGGGGTGGGAAGCGGAGGAATGGAATAAAGAGGGGCTAACGAGCGCAATCAAACCAGGGCAGGGCCAACCGAAGCAGAAGGAACGATAGAGTGAAACGCACCAGGTGAGTTCGCTCAGTGAGGGTACCAAACCAGTGGCTCCGCTGATCCTCTCATCGTCGTCGCAGCTGCGCGCCGAGCTCGGCAGCACGAACCCCGCTGCTTCCGCCGATTCAGCTTCAGGATTGCGAGTTGCGGGAGAGGCGAGATTCGACGCGGTATAGTAGCGTCCGGTGAAGACATTGCACAGCGTCAGGTTCAGCGACAGGCACACGAACGTCGCACGGATCGCACGAAGCGACGGCGCCATCGCAGAAGGCCTAAGCGTGGCGGAGTGTGAGAGTCAGAGACGCCTGGCAACCATCAGTAAGAGCTGACGGATTTCACAGTACTACCTCGAGGCAATGATGGAATTAAGAGGTTCTGGCGTTCTTAAGAGGTCCGCATTGACGCAGGCCGATGTGCGGGTGCGGTGACCTGTTAAAAATGCACGGTACTTCTACAAATGGAGGCAAGGTAAGCGATGCGATACCACCAGGGACGGCTGGTCTTGGTCCTGGGAGTACCGACAAGTCAAATTACTCGCATAAGAACCCTCGCTACAAACATCATCCGAAGAAACAAACCAAGTAGAAAATGGTGGACGATAATTTACCCTATTTACTGTTAACTTAGGAAGGAAGAAGTTTTTAACACCACCAATCTGCAGAGCAAAGACTTGAAGAATCAAATCATGTGATAACGTAGCTTGGCTGTCAATAATAATTGCTGAGTGCACTGACAACATGATGGGTTGTGGGAAGTGCATCACACACAAGGGGCAAATCCCAAGGTGCATGTTTCACACCCTCATATAGCCATGGCGCCACTGAATCATTGAACTTGGCAAACGTTGGAGAAAGGAGCGCTTCCCAGTCCACCTGCAATTGAAAGCACCACAATCATGTTGAAGGATGATGAAAATGAGAAGAACAAGACAAATCTCTAGGCATGCGCAGCACAGTGTGCGTTACTGACCAGAAGTACCCCAGTTTTAGGATGGCGTCTTGAATCCTCTGGCGGTAGCGATGCGGGTCCACTGCTTCTGTGTGTGCGTCCAGCACTGCCGCACACAGCACCTGGTGGGAGGGAGGATGGGGAATCAAGAAGAGTATATGGAGTATCAGTTCAGAGGCATCCGTGCGGGCAACACTGCCACACACAGGGACTGGGGTCACAATGCAAAGAAGACGACGAGAGGAGGAAGTTGAGGGGGATAGTGAGTGCTCCGCATACACCTATGCTGTGCAGCACTTGTGCAAGTATGAAATACCACCACAGGGTGGAAAGGTCAGGGGAGGAATGCACAAGAGAAGGGACTTGTATAAATACTTGTACTTATACCACTGGCGGCATGGTATTGTATATGTACTTCCTCTGGGGCATTCCTCCCCCAACTGTTCAGTGGTTTGCAAGACTGTGACTGTACACGCACCTCCCATGCTGCTGTGAGCTCCAAGTCTAGGTGCTTCCATCGCGGCCGGTCCACTGACGTGCGGATGGCAAAGTCAAACGACCGAGCGCTGAAAAAATGGGAAGAAGCAAATGGGGCAGAGAGAGAAAGATAACGGAGAGAGATGGCGGGGTGAAGAGCCTCCTCTTCAAAGAAAATGCAGAAAGGTGGAAACGCATGCCCATATGCAGGCAAGCAGAGGAAAAGGGAACAAAGAAGCAGGTCCATTGCATACGCAGGTAGAGAGAGAATTATAAGCACAGGAAGAACCAGAGGCAGAGAAAGTTGGGTGCCAACAGGGTGAGAGAGTAGCTTTGATAGAAACGAAAAGTAGTGTTCCACTCACGATGCGACAATGGAGAACTCTGTCCCGAGAATAGCTTTTCTGGACCAGAGAGTGGGTGACGAGGGGAAAGAGACGGGATGGTAAGAGGGAGGAAGGAGAGGAGGAATTCTTCAAAATCAAGATTGGTCAGCTGGCAACGATAATGGAAATGAATGAAGTTGAGGCAACAGAAACGAAACCCCATTGCTGTAGCCATTGCCATAAGCATTCGCCAGAGTATGATCACTAGCATTCACCCTTACCATGTGCCAATGTTGTCACATTAATCCCATACCTATCGCAATACAATACCCAATGGCCATGATCGCCAGAACCCATGGACATGAGCACAAAACACTGCATTACCCTGGAATGGCTTCGCTGAGGCACTGTGAGTTGATGAAGAAGTCACAGCCCACAGCTGTATGGAGCTCCTGCACAGTCTCTGCCTGCTTGATCTGGTGGTGCCGCGGTGCACAGAAGAGAATGAGCAGATGGCATGGCAGTGAAAGAGAGTCATTTGTGAAATGGAAAAAAGAAGAAGAAGAAGAAGAAAAAAAAGGTTAAAGTAATTTGTGTGAAATGAAGAAACATAAGGCCTCCACATCCCACACTCGCGTGCATCAGACCCCCTATCTCACTGATCTGCACCTTCCACACTTACATCAGCGCGCGACCTCACACCTTCAGTTCTAGCTGAAACCACTTTGGCTTACCTTTTCACCATAGACGGCCCTTGGAATGCTGAACTTGCCTCCGAGAGCCGCTCCCTGGAAGCGGGGTGGAGTGGAGAGTGGGCAGGATAGGGAGAGAAGAGGAGATGCGAGGATAGTAAGGTGAAGGCAAATAGTCCACCAAGCGCAAATGCAATGGAAATGGCAGCACACTGGAAGGAGCATGAAGAGTGCATATCATACTAGTACGAGTCCACACCATACTCAACCACACCATACCATCAGTTCACACCATGGCGTAATGCATCCCATACCATGAGGCCATGCACGCTCTTGGAGCTCATGGTCATGCCCGTCGCATTGACAGCTTCCTCTGCCTCCAGCAGCCGCTGCTTCACCACCTCCAACGTTCTGATTGGTCCATGGGGTAAGAGACAGGTGGCGGGCAGGCCAGTTTTCTGTTTTTTTTTTTTTTTTGCAGATGCAATGCATGGAGAATTGCATGAAGGCTAGGTCCTTCCGACTTGGGCACCTATCGTCTAGTGTGGTGGCTCTTGAATCGATCCAGATTCATATTGGAGTTTGGCTGAAGTCTCACCTGTCTGTGAGTGGGTAGTACTTGACGTTCTGCATCTGACCCACTTCTGAGGCGCCTCAAGAATCTCACCTGTCCCTTTAGAGTTTCTATCCGCAGTGAGGTTTAAGCTTGGGTGAGTGGGTAAAGTTTTACCTGTCCGTGAGTGGGTAGTACTTGACGTTCTGCATCTGGCCCACCTGGAGAGCTGTCAGGCCTCCATACCCCCTCTCGATCTCGTTCCTGCTTGCACCACAGCACAGCAACACAGAGGCACAGCACAGCCCAGGCAGTCACTAAGCGATTCCAATGCCCACAAACTCGGTTCCAGGCAGGGTTGCAAGTACTGGGAAGGTTGTGGGAGGAGGGATTGGATAGAAAGAAAGGGTAATGCATCCACAGCGCACACAGTGCATCCAAGCCACCGAGGCACTTGAAAATGCAGGCACTTAAAAATGCACATTCACATAGGCAGGCCACTTCACCCTGGTCCCACACACAGCTGTATTCACTCCAGCAGGTCGATCCAAGCCACAAGGTCCGTGGCCTCTCAGGGTTGCAAGGGAATCTGCACCAGTGAAAAAACGCTTCAGCCAAGTGCTGACCTCTCCAGTCCCACTCACAGCTGTGTTGGACTCACTCCAGCAGGTCGATCCAAGCCACAAGGTCAGTGGGCTCGCCTATCTGCCTCCACGGGACAATAACATTGAACACGTCCCTCCAGCCTGACATCAGCCGTCCTCCCCCCTTCCCGCCTCCACGCCCCTTCAACCCTCCCTTTGCGGCCTTCTCTCCCTTCCTGCCGTCTCGCCTCGTCAGCTTGTAGAACGAGTCTGTGAAAGCCCTTCTTCTCAGCTTTCCCCTCTTGCCGGTACTTTGTCTGGATTGTGCTGATTCTGGGCTGGTTCCTTGAGGACTGGTCCTGGACCCGTCGTCCTCATCCCCTTGCCCCTTCTCTTTCCCTTTTTCTACTGCTCCTCCCTCTCCTTCCTCGCCCCCTTCACCCTCCTGTGCCATCTCCTCCCATGCAGTCCGAACCTGTCATGCCATACAATTGTAAGAAGGGAGGGAAGAAGGAAGGGAAGGTGGAGTGGGTGAGGGTGAAAGAGAAGACGAACTGGTGAGTTGGGCTAAGGCTACCCCGCAGGAGAGGTGGGTGAGGCTGTGGGGCTCGTGCAAGAATGAGAAACGACTGCATGATGGAGGAAGGGCACGGGCTCAACTGCTGAGGTGAGGTGGTGAGGTGAGGTGAGGTGGTGAGGTGAGGTGGTGAGGTGAGGTGGTGAGGTGACGTGTTGAACTGACGCAAGATGCAGCGTGAGCAGTTTTCAGTGGGGAGGGCAAGAGGACGGGCATGGGAAGGGAATCAACGGGTCTCACCTGCTGCATCACATCCAATGCTGCCAGCCCTGCCATGCGGAACTGCAGGATAGGATAGGGGCAGAAAAACGACAGCAAAAATGGGAAGGAATAAAGAGCACTGACATGGCAATGTGCACCAACGACATGCCCCTTCAATCAGCTAGAAGCAGCACAGAAACCAGCCGCTTTGATCCAGGCGGACTTGATGACAGCAAGGAGGGGAAGGAAGAAAGGGCGCTGACATGGCAATGTGCCCAGGTGACGTGCCTTTTGCAGACTGTGCTTCAACCCTTGTTCCCTATACCCTTTCGAGCGTTGTAGCATAGCACGGTATACTAGCCACGGCGGACTAACCCAATGAGTCATGAACACTCGTTACCAACTCACCTGCCGCTTGTTGGGCATGAAGCCGTCCAGAAAGTACTGCGTCCGCTTCCCAATCTCATCCGCCCTGGCGATAATCTCAAGTGCCCCCTCTGACAGCTCAGGAAGGCCAGGGGATTCGCCTTTGCTCCTGGCGCCTGGAGGGAGGTCTAGGGGGTGGTATGAGCGGGGCAGCACTGTGGGTGGTAGCCGGCGGATCCAGGCTTCCTGTGAACGTTGAACGGGAGGGGGAGTTGAGGAAGCGGAGGGTGGGTGGATGGGAAGGAGGAGGGAAGAGAAGAGAGGTGGACCATGGTGGAAGGACGAAGAACAAAAAGGGAGAGAGTGCTAATGGACCGGAGTGCAAAACAGGGACATCAAATACTGCAGCACTGAAGCAACTGTGGAGAGAAATTTGAAGCATGCGAGAGCCTTACCTTGAAGGTGACATCCAGTGAGACGATCATTAGGGCACCTCCAAAATCCTCTCACCTTTGATGCACCTCAACAATCAAAGCCTCACCTTGAAGTTGGTATCGAGATCTTGGTCGATTTGGAAGTCAATGAAGGGGCGGGCGAGCTTGGACCACGTGTACGTGGCAATGTCCCTCTGAAAGATGGACGAGGAGAGAGATTGAGAGGGAGGGTATCACGCAGATGACATTTGAGTCGAATGAAAGGTCATTTGGACCCCGTGTACGTGGCAATGTCTCTCTGCAACGTGTGCACGGTGCATGGTGCATGGTGGGGTGGGGTGAACGAGATATGTCAGAGGAGTGCTGGGCGTGTGCAGACATGCTGACTGCTTGAGAGGACAGCATGTTTTGAGACGACTGAAACCACACCAGAACAAAAGCACAGGTGGGGCTTTGAAATGAGCTTGCACCTGATAGAAGGCCAAGGACTGCTGGACTTGCGCATACTCGCTGGCTGCCTGAGAGGGCAGAGTTAGAATCACACTGTACTGCTTTATCTGCAACAGCCATAGCACGGATGCATACCATGTTGGGAGGGGGAAAGGGATGGGAGGTCGGGTGACAGGGGGGGAGAAAACGGGGTAGGAGGATTAACAAGGTGGCATGTTCAGTTCAATACCCATGATAGTCATGTGTGAGAGCGATATGAACTTGTCAATTGCATGCAAAACGCGATTTACATCCATGCTGGCCTGTTTCAGTTACCATGCCAGTCGTGACTAACCCACGACATGGTGCGGTTTGAATTGACACAATGAATCAGAATACAAGACACATCTTACTGCAGCATTGTAGTCCCCGACTGCATGCAGCGAGGAAGCTTCCAGGTAATTGAGCTCAATGTCCATTGGCTTGAGCTTCAGCCCCTTATGGGCGTACTTGATGGCGTCTCTAATTGGGGGCAAGGCAAAGGAAGAGAGGATGCACACACGCAGAGACACAGAGATATGAAGGGAAGAAAGGGAGTTGACATGAAGCTGAGCCCTCCCGTGGTCCATTCTGAGTAACCAGTCTCACCTGTGGTCCCCAATGCTTTGCAACTGAAGGCCCAGGCGTAGATATGCCTCTGGTGACCTGCACTCATCCACCCATGCACCAATACAAGATGCACACATGTGAAATGCATGTATGCACATGTGCGGACATGCACACATGCCAACATGCAAACATGCACACACACACGCAGACATCATACATGCATGCTCAAATACAACAAGAAGAAAGCACACACACAGGAACACAGTCACTCAGGCAGACATACAAAAACAGCGGGAGTGAAGATACAATCAGCATATGTCCTCAGCCCCCTCCACCCACGCACATCCCCTCCTCTCCCCATTCTTCCTCACCCCCCACCCCCCTGTGCACAGTGCCTTTGCCTGCCAACAATCTTTCTGCTTCTCTGACACTCTGCCTTCACCCACCAGGTCACCCCCTTTTCAACTCACTCTTCCAGCACGAGCGCCTTGTGCAATGCAGCCACTGCAAGGTCCGCCTGCCCCAACTCCAAAACGAAGTAACTTATGAGTCCACTTGAGGCTCCTTCACACATCCAATCCACCAAACCTTCAACTCACTCTTCCAGTGCGAGCGCCTTGTGCAGTGCAGCCACTGCAAGGTCCGCCTGGCCCAACTGTTTGACTTTCGAGTCGACTCGACACAATGTGGCTTTTGCATCGACTCAGAAGTCCACCCTCGCCCCCACTTCAACTCACTCTTCCAGCGCTAGAGCCTTGTGCAGTGCAGCCACTGCAAGGTCCGCCTGGCCCAACTCCTTGTGCGCGCGGCCCTTGTCACTCCACAGCAGCGCCACCCCTGGGTGCCGCCTCACTGCCTCCTCCATCACCTCAACCGCGTCCCTCCACTGACCTGCTCCTCCATAGCTTAGGGCCTGATTGAGGAAAGGGGAGGGGAGGGAACGGGATGAGTTTGAGTAGACTCAGATTCAACGGTTTGTTTAAGTCGAGTGTATGTTTTTTGAGAATTCTCCATCAATTCAACTGCTGTTTAAGTCGAGTGAGAACACGCCTTACTGCCTCCTCCATCAATTCAACTGCGTCCCTCCACTGCCCACCCCTCCAAAGCTCAGGGCCTGATGTAAGCAGAGGAAGAGATGTGTTTCGAGAATGGACTTGTGGGACTTAGCAGGGCATTGATGAGCATGGGTTCTCTGCGATGGGCTCGACTCGACTGAGCTGAGGCAGTGAGATCACGGATTGACTCCTCTGAGGCGCCCAAACTCACCACGGCACGGATGAGCATGGGGTCCTTGGGTTGGTGCTTGAGTGCGACAGTGAGGTCACCCATGCTCATGGTCGTCACTCATGGTCTTCAGAAGGTGACGGTTGAGGTGCCTCAGAAGTCAGAACTCACCACGGCACGGATGAGCATGGGGTCCTTGGGTTGGTGCTTGAGTGCGGCAGTGAGGTCACCGATGCTCATGGTCGTCACTCATGGTCTGCAAAAGGTGACGGTTGAGGTGCCTCAGAAGTCAGAACTCACCACGGCACGGATGAGCATGGGGTCCTTGGGTTGGTGCTTGAGTGCGACAGTGAGGTCACCCATGCTCATGGTCGTCACTCATGGTCTGCAAAAGGTGACGGTTGAGGTGCCTCAGAAGTCAGAACTCACCACGGCACGGATGAGCATGGGGTCCTTGGGTTGGTGCTTGAGTGCGACAGTGAGGTCACCCATGCTCATGGTCGTCACTCATGGTCTGCAAAAGGTGACGGTTGAGGTGCCTCAGAAGTCAGAACTCACCACGGCACGGATGAGCATGGGGTCCTTGGGTTGGAGCTTGAGTGCGGCAGTGAGGTCACCCATGCTCATGGTCGTCACTCATGGTCTGCAAAAGGTGACGGTTGAGGTGCCTCAGAAGTCAGAACTCACCACGGCACGGATGAGCATGGGGTCCTTGGGTTGGCGCTTGAGTGCGGCAGAGAGGTCGCTGATTGCCGTCCAGAAGTCACCCGCCTGGAAGGCCAGCACTCCTGAAGGCACACGGTACGGAGAGAAAAGCAGAGCATAGCATTCTTTTAGGGCGACTGTGTGTTAGGATGTCTGCTGGTTTCGTCGCTGTTGAGTTGATGACTGAACTCAGAGTGAAATGCCCTCAGAATGGGAAGCGTACAGCCCAAAGCGGAAAATTTGATCTTCAAATATCAAGCAAGACTAACATGACACTCCCTCATGGTCACCTCTGCACTCTCTCGAGGTGGTGTGGCTCGAGGTGCAGAGCGTAGTAGTAGTCGATGCTTGAGTCAACTCAAACACCCCTCACCTCTTTCCTGTATCGTCTCAGGGTGGTTAGGCTCGAGTTCTAGAGCACGAGAGTAGTCGCTCAGGGCGTCTGCCTGCCTCCCCATGGACGCCAGCAGGTGCGCGCGGCGCCGCCAGAAGTCCGCCACAAGTGGGTAGCGCTCTGTGCCCTGAGAGGCGTGGGGGTTTGAGAGAAGCAGAGGAGTGTAAGCAGGGAGGAGAGCAGCAGGTGAGTAAGCCTGCCTTCATCAGTCTGCCTGCCTCCCCATGGACGCCAGCAGGTGCGCGCGGCGCCGCCAGAAGTCCGCCACAAGTGGGTAGCGCTCTGTGCCCTGAGAGGCGTGGGGGTTTGAGAGAAGCAGAGGAGTGTAAGCAGGGAGGAGAGCAGCAGGTGAGTAAGCCTGCCTTCATCAGTCTGCCTGCCTCCCCATGGACGCCAGCAGGTGCGCGCGGCGCCGCCAGAAGTCCGCCACAAGTGGGTAGCGCTCTGTGCCCTGAGAGGCGTGGGGGTTTGAGAGAAGCAGAGGAGTGTAAGCAGGGAGGAGAGCAGCAGGTGAGTAAGCCTGCCTTCATCAGTCTGCCTGCCTCCCCATGGACGCCAGCAGGTGCGCGCGGCGCCGCCAGAAGTCCGCCACAAGTGGGTAGCGCTCTGTGCCCTGAGAGGCGTGGGGGTTTGAGAGAAGCAGAGGAGTGTAAGCAGGGAGGAGAGCAGCAGGTGAGTAAGCCTGCCTTCATCAGTCTGCCTGCCTCCCCATGGACGCCAGCAGGTGCGCGCGGCGCCGCCAGAAGTCCGCCACAAGTGGGTAGCGCTCTGTGCCCTGAGAGGCGTGGGGGTTTGAGAGAAGCAGAGGAGTGTAAGCAGGGAGGAGAGCAGCAGGTGAGTAAGCCTGCCTTCATCAGTCTGCCTGCCTCCCCATGGACGCCAGCAGGTGCGCGCGGCGCCGCCAGAAGTCCACCACAAGTGGGTAGCGCTCTGTGCCCTGAGAGGCGTGGGGGTTTGAGAGAAGCAGAGGAGTGTAAGCAGGGAGGAGAGCAGCAGGTGAGTAAGCCTGCCTTCATCAGTCTGCCTGCCTCCCCATGGACGCCAGCAGGTGCGCGCGGCGCCGCCAGAAGTCCGCCACAAGTGGGTAGCGCTCTGTGCCCTGAGAGGCGTGGGGGTTTGAGAGAAGCAGAGGAGTGTAAGCAGGGAGGAGAGCAGCAGGTGAGTAAGCCTGCCTTCATCAGTCTGCCTGCCTCCCCATGGACGCCAGCAGGTGCGCCCGGCGCCGCCAGAAGTCCGCCCCATGTGGGTACTTCTTTGTGCCCTGAGCGTGTAGGGTGGGACCGTGGGGAGGCGGAAGCATGGAGGAGGAGGGAAAGGGTTTCGAGAGATGCAGAGAAGTGTAAGCAGGGAAGAGGGCAGCAGCAGAGCCCGCAGTCACCAAAAAAATGTGACACGTGGGCAACGTATTGTGCTGAGAGGGGTGCGGAAGAGTTGAAATTGGACAGCGCAATCAGCCAAGTTATCCCAAAGGATGACTTAGCCACCATTGGAAGCCCCTCAAGTTGGTCAGGTCATTGAAAGAAGCCTTATCCGTGTGCGTCAGGAGAGTGAAGCTGCTTACCCTGGTGAGATCCTTTAGTGCCTTATCCTTATGGCCCAGGAAAGTGTTGGCGATGCCTCGGCCCAACAGCACGTGCTGTTGCACCTCGGGATGATCCACTCTGTCCAGCTGCCAGGGGAGAGAATGGAGTGGGGTGCGGGGTGTGAACTCAAGTAGTGAAGAGGAGCTACAAGGAACAACGCTTTCCATCCCTCCTCCTAGGGACCCCATGGGACCGTCTGGGACCCCGTGGGACCGTCTGGGACCCCTGGGACCTTCTGGAACCCCCTGGGACCCCTTCGGACCCCGTGCGACCCCGTGACCCTGTGAGCATAACTCTGACCTGAGTTCCGTGACACGTGCTGGTATTGTATTCAGAACTAGTTCAGCAAGTGAAGAGAATACCAGCATGCATTCTTAAAACCCTCTTCCTTCTGCTCACCTTGCTGAATTCAAGGGCAGCTTCCGAGTAGCTTCCCTGCCGTAACTGTTGGGTCAAGATAGGATGAAGGGGGACATAGAAAAAGATGTCATAAGAAAGTGAAACAAACCATGGACTACAATATTCATTGTTCAGTGGAGGAATTTACATGGCCAGAGGGGTGCCAGAAGAGGGATGGCTGCACAAAGTGTACATGCGAAATGAAACCACCCCTTCACTCTCAGGTGGTCATCTCTCTACCTTGCGCTTGCAACCACTTCCTTCCTTCTACACTTACTCGTCCCATCTCCCCGCCCTTCACCTTGGACTCAAATTTAAGCAGCACGCTCATCTCATCCCTTTTAAGCAGCACGCTCATCTCATCTTACCGCAGAGAACGCTCTGCCGAGCACCAAGTGGTGGGCCGGATCCGCTCTCATGTCCTGAGCCCCACTGCCCAACCCACTCTGCTGACTATCCGACCCTTGCTTCGCTCCCTTCTGCCTCTGCTGCTTGTCCGCCTCAGCCTTCTGCTCCTGCTGCCTCATTATCCGCCTCAGCCTTTCCTCTTTAGTCGCCTCTTTACCCTCCTCACTCTTTTTCCTCTCTGCCTCTGCTTTCCTCTCTTGTTTCTGCGTCGACTGCCTCTCTATTCCCGTTCTCGCGATACCCGGTGCCACTTCCAACCCGCTTCTGTTTTTTTCAACTGTCCACTTCTCCTCTGCCCCTCCACTCCTTGCCCGCCCTACTTCTCCCAAGCTTCCCCCAGTGGCCCCCCCAGCGGTTCTTCCTTCTCCCCCTCCCCCATCCAGGCGCATCAGGGCGCACAAATCTGCTCCCCCCAGCAGCGGCTTCCCCCCTCGCACAGGGGAGGGGAGATCACAGGAGGGTGGAGGAGGCGAGGAGGGGGGAGGCGGAGGAAGGAGCTTGAACAGCTTGGTTCCTGTGGCAGGGAAGAGAGGGGGGTATTCGCAGGTGAGACAATTCCAGGTGGATGTGAAAGTTGGAAGCAACTGAAAGGACTCAGACGGAGTGGGAAGGCAGAAAGGAAACGTTCCGGGATGTTTGCGTGCGTGCACCTTTTTTAAAATGTTCATGAAAAGTTCATGAAAAATGTTCATGCATGCATGCGTGCGTGCGTGCACCTTTTTTAATGAATGGAAGAAGGCATCCGTGATTATTCAAGCGTTGACGACGACGGTCGTTTGTTGTCAGTTGCTGAGCTGGCACTGATGCGAGCAAATGCAGCTCCCAGTCACATAAGGACGGATTCCTGGGGATGACGTGTGGGTGACGTATAATGATGAGCCCAAGCGTAAGCACTTCGACCAGCGAAAGCGGAGGGGAAGTAGGACACAGGACGAACACCAGAGGAAGCATAAAACGAATGCATGGGCCCCTGATAAGTTTTGAGCCGTCTCAGAACCCGTGCGCCCGTGACGGTGAGCAATGAGACCCATGTCATTGAACATGTGGCTGAGCCATTACATTGAGCATGTGGCTGAGCCATGTCATTGAACATGTGGCTGAGCCATTACATTGAGCATGTGGCTGAGCCATGTCATTGAACATGTGGCTGAGCCATTACATTGAGCATGTGGCTGAGCCATTACATTGAGCATGTGGCTGAGCCATGTCATTGAACATGTGGCTGAGCCATTACATTGAGCATGTGGCTGAGCCATTACATTGAGCATGTGGCTGAGCCATGTCATTGAACATGTGGCTGAGCCGTTACATTGAGCATGTGGCTGAGCCATTACATTGAGCATGTGGCTGAGCCATGTCATTGAACATGTTGCTGAGCCATTACATTGAGCATGTGGCTGAGCCATTACATTGAGCATGTGGCTGAGGCATGTCATTGAACATGTGGCTGAGCCACATTGAGCATGTGACTGAGCCATGTCATTGAACATGTGGCTGAGCCATTACATTGAGCATGTGGCTGAGCCATTACATTGAGCATGTGGCTGAGCCATGTCATTGAACATGTGGCTGAGCCACATTGAGCATGTGAATGAGCCATGTCATTGAACATGTGGCTGAGCCATTACATTGAGCATGTGGCTGAGCCATTACATTGAGCATGTGGCTGAGCCATGTCATTGAACATGTGGCTGAGCCATTACATTGAGCATGTGGCTGAGCCATTACATTGAGCATGTGGCTGAGCCATGTCATTGAGCATTTGACTGAGCCATGTCATTGAGCATGTGACTGAGCCATGTCATTGAACATGTGGCTGAGCCATGTCATTGAGCATGTGACTGAGCCATGTCATTGAGCATGTGACTGAGCAATGTCATTGAACATGTGGCTGAGCCATGTCATTGAGAGTTTGCGATTCGCACCATGTGAGCTCTTCCAAAGAAGGAAGCAAACCCTTGGCTCCATTGATACTCTCATCTTCGTCGCAGCAGCGCGCCGAGCTCGGCAGCACGAACCCCGCTGCCGCCTCCGCCGATTCAGCTTCAGGATTGCGAGTTGCGGGAGAGGCGAGATTCGACGCGGTATAGTAGCGTCCGGTGAAGACATTGCACAGCGTCAGGTTCAGCGACAGGCACACGAACGTCGCACGGATCGCACGAAGCGACGGCGCCATCGCAGAGCACCTAATGGCCGTGGATTCTGATTCTGAGGCCCTCGGAAATCATCAGCGCGGAGCGGTGACGGACCCGAGGCAACGATAGAGTCCAGAGGCACTTAGGAAGTCCGCATTGACGCAGGTCGAAAACATCCCAAAAGGTGCAAATAAGGTGACTGCTTTACAAGCTTTCGACCTGTATCGACGATCGAAACACAACTTGCGACGATGTCCTCTGAGAAATTATGTAAGCGTTTCAACTGCGAATTCAATTCCGAAGATAAAGTGAGCCTGTTTTGACGGAGTCTGCGGCGAAATCGTGTGAGGATGGTCTCGTTTCCTCCACCTTATAAATGCCATTTCTCCTCTCATGGTCCTGGAATTACTGACAAAATATCCAGGTGCAGGCTTTTCTTGCACAAACGCGCTGGACTGGAAAGAAGGCTGTATAACGTACGCTCTGTTAGCACTCTCGCAAACACAAATCTGAAACGTCTGTCAACCTGCATAGACATTATCGTTTATGACACTGCACAAGCTGCTCTTAGGAGAATGAGATTGATTTCTGACTTCCAGATTCTTGCCCATAGTTTGTCCCAAAGTTTTTTCCATCATATATACGGTACAAGTTTTACACTACTTACAGGTAAGGCAGCTCCACCAATGCAACACCAGTAGTACCAATGAAATAACTGACACATACCAGTATATTTGGGACCCCCAAGTCACACACTACCTGCAACTCGTCCATCATAAATATTATCGTTTATGACACTGCACAAGCTGCTCTTAGGAGAATGAGCTTGATTTCTGACTTCCAGATTCTTGCCCAAAGTTTGTCCCAAAGTTTTTTCCATCATATATACCGTATCACGAAACTTCTGTCGGGTAGCAGGTGTGCTCTGATGAGGCCCACACACAGCTGGCTGTGTTGTGAACAGACACAGGAGGGTTAGCTAGAGGGATGAGACTGAGCAGAGATGAATGGGTTGTGCCTCATAGCCCACACACACTCATGCCCATGCTAAAGCCAAGGCACAAGGCCAATTCTAGGAGCCAGCTCACTCCCTCTAACCCTACGCCTTCCCTTTCCCCTTCCCCTTATGCCCCTTGTGCTGCTTCTTCCCAGCCCCACCCTTCCCTCCTCCCTCCCCCTCCCACTCCCCCTCCCCTCTTCTTCCCCCCTGCCCCCATTACACTGGTCATTCCCCTCCACGCTGCTGCAAGCTTCCCAGCCCTCCGATTGAGCATCTTTGCATTCAACGGTCAGTACGCATGTGGATCCAGCTTCCCTTCCTTCTTCACATCGCCGCCCGCACGCCGCCCGCTGCCTGTGGCATATTCATCCCCTGTATATGACCACCCGCTACCGCTACCAATCTGCTTCTTCCCACCGCGCCGGTCCTTACCAGAAGGAATGGCCTGGCCTGGCCTGAATTGGCCTTGGCCTTTTTCCTCCCACCACCACCACCAGCACCAGCACCCCCTCTCCCTTCTCCCCCTTCTCCTCCTCCTTTTGCACCTCGCGCCCCGTGGACACGCCGGCCAAACGCCAGCTCAGCAGCCCTCGCAGATGCCAGGCTGGCATCACCCATCGCCACGTCATCATCCTCCATTACCCCATAGTCCAAATTCCCCTCCCCGTCATCCTCCCCAGCGCCCACACCCTTCTTGGCTCCTCCTTTCCTCCCACTGCCCCCACCCGTACCACCCTCTCCCCCCTCGGTCTCATTCAGAACATCCATCTTGCCATCCTCTGTATACTCGAATCCCGCATCCTTCCTCTCCCCTTCCCTCTCCCCACCCCCATCCCGATGCCGCTTCGAACCACCACCACCAGCACCACCACCAGTAGCACCAGAGGAAAGGGTTCCGTGAGTGGGCTTGAGCAGGGGGGCAGAGAGGGCCCGGCGCGTGCCTGCGAGATCGAGCAGGTCCAATGGCGTGTCGCCACCTGTCTCCGTGATACGCTCGTGCAGCTGCGGCCTGCCGTGCTGCGCCTTCTTGCTTGCACTGCAGGGAGGGGAAAGGGGGGAAAGGAGAGAGGGAGGGATTTTGAAAATGGCAAAGGAGAAAAGGTGGACGGAGAAGGGAGAGGGGAGAGGCGAGAGCTGAGAGGGAGAAACAGCGGAATGAGAAAGAGAGGAAGCAAAAAAAGCAGGACTGCTCTGGGAGAGATGGTTTCACATGCCACACACCATGCCATCAGATGCAATTGCTCAGTAAGTGAAGAACCCACACCCATAACACCATATCCCACACCCCATGCCACTACCCATGCCACACCCCATCCCACACCCCATGCCACACCCCATGCCCCATCCCATGCCCCATTATGCCCCATACCATGCTCCACCCCATGCCACATCAGCACACCTGGACGAGAGTGCGTTCGACCACGCAGACTTCTTCGACCTGTCATGGCGAGACGCTGACTTGGCGGCGCGTTGCCGTCGAACATGCTGCGCTTGTCCTCGTCAGCATCGCTGTAATCCTCGTCATCGCTGGAATCGCCGTCCGCTGACGTGTCGCTGACAGGTTCGAGTGGCTTCACTCGTTCTGAAACGGGGTGGGAGTGGAAGAGGGAAAACGGGGGGAAGTGGGGGGGCGGGGGTGGAGGGGAGGGAGCGGGTACAAACGAAGGAGAAATGAGTGAAGGCAGATGCATGGGGTGGGGAGGACAGATATACGCCTACACCCCCCCCAGCAATCCTTCCACACCACACCACTCACCTCGCCAGACATGGTCGACCGGCCGTCACCACCCTCCTTCACATCCCCTGCCAACGAACCGCCCCTGCGACCCCCCTCTACGCCCCCCAACCTGCCTCCCCCCCCAGCAACCGGAAGCATGGCCCTTCTTCTGCCAGACATGGTCCACCGCCCTTCCCTCTGCGAGCCGATTGCTGAGCGGACTGCTGCTGACGACCCACAAGTCCCTGCAGCAACAACCTCTGAGATCAATCGCTACAGCAGCTCAACACCACTCAGCTCGCCCTGACATCGTCGACCGCCCGTCACCACCCTCCTCCCCGTTGCCTGCTTGGGAACCCCCCCTCGCTCCTGCTCCCCCTCGCTCCTGCTCCTCCCCGCTTCTTCTCCTTGGCCTTGGCTGCTCGAGCCACCTCCTGCAACAGAATAAAGACCACAGGGAGAACCGGCAGGGGAACATGAGGAGCAGATGGGTGAATAGCCAAGGCACCCACCCCTCGTTTCCCCCCTCGCTCCTGCTCCTCCCCGCTTCTTCAAATTGGCCTTGGCTGCTCGAGCCTCCCCCTCCAGCACCCGGAAGCATGGCCCTTCTTCTGCCAGACATGGTCCACCGCCCTTCCCTCTGCGAGCCGATTGCTGAGCGGACTGCTGCTGACGACCCACAAGTCCCTGCAGCAACAACCTCTGAGATCAATCGCTACAGCAGCTCAACACCACTCAGCTCGCCCTGACATCGTCGACCGCTCGTCACCACCCTCCTCCCCGTTGCCTGCTTGGGAACCCCCCCTCGCTCCTGCTCCTACCCGCTTCTTCTCCTTGGCCTTGGCTGCTCGAGCCACCTCCTGCAACAGAATAAAGACCACAGGGAGAACCGGCAGGGGAACATGAGGAGCAGATGGGTGAATAGCCAAGGCACCCACCCCTCGTTTCCCCCCTCGCTCCTGCTCCTCCCCGCTTCTTCAAATTGGCCTTGGCTGCTCGAGCCTCCCCCTCCAGCACCCGGAAGCATGGCCCTTCTTCTGCCAGACATGGTCCACCGCCCTTCCCTCTGCGAGCCGATTGCTGAGCGGACTGCTGCTGACGACCCACAAGTCCCTGCAGCAAGAACCTCTGAGATCAATCGCTACAGCAGCTCAACACCACTCAGCTCGCCCTGACATCGTCGACCGCTCGTCACCACCCTCCTCCCCGTTGCCTGCTTGGGAACCCCCCCTCGCTCCTGCTCCTACCCGCTTCTTCTCCTTGGCCTTGGCTGCTCGAGCCACCTCCTGCAACAGAATAAAGACCACAGGGAGAACCGGCAGGGGAACATGAGGAGCAGATGGGTGAATAGCCAAGGCACCCACCCCTCGTTTCCCCCCTCGCTCCTGCTCCTCCCCGCTTCTTCAACTTGGCCTTGGCTGCTCGAGCCACCTCCTGCAACACAAAAGGGATAAGATGAGGGAGAAACGGATGGATGTGTGTGGGCAGGCGCTGATGCTCCTCCTCTGGTACCCATGCAGCCATGATGGCATAGTATGGCGGGGCGAGCACAAGTGCTAGCGCCAGGGTTTGGACAGTGTACATGTAATAACCTCGCGCCACTCGCATTTCCTCCCTGTCGCATTACATCCCTTGCGGATGTGAGTGAGCAGGTGCTGATGCTCCTCCGGCACCACTGCGGTGTGGAACAGTGACAGCAGCACATACACTATCTGGGAGGAGGAAGGGGATGGGGGGGGTTGTTGGGTTGGGAGTGAAGAGAGAGGAGAAGAGCATGGGTGAGAGCAAGTCAGGAGAGAGCACATGTGTGGCATGGCCTCACCGTCTCACCAGCCGCTGCACTATCTGACGGGAGGGAAGGTGAGGGGGAGTGGTGGCGGGATGTGAATGGGTGGGGGTGACAGCAACCAGGCAGCAGGCGGCAGGCCGCAGCGCTTGAGCATTCCACTCCATATCATACCTTGGCCTTGAACTGGGTTGCGACGATCTCATTGGTGGAGAGCAAAGCAGTCATGATGACCGGCAGATGAGCCTCCAGGTCAGCAGCTTCCAGGCGCACAGATAGCACCTTCACCAGGCCCAGACAAGCCTTGAGCACTATCGAACGGAAGAGGAAGAGCAGCGAGGGTGCTGCTGGTGGCCAGTCCTGCCATCACCTGCAACTTCTTGGCACTATCGAACCTGCCAAAGTACAGACTCCTACGCACGATAATCCTATGAACGGACGCAGGAAATCCTCGATATAAGCCTCTGATCCCCTCCGCCCGCCAGAGAGCCGCTATAACGGATCGCATGTTTGCAAACTGCCTGCGCGTGCCTATATCGGTGGCCAGGCGCGTGTGCGCGATGTCTCCTGCTGCGATTCGCGTGGCGGAAGGCTGTGTGAGAAGGTGAGACACAAGAAGGTGAATAGTACATTCAGATCATGGGAGGAGGAGGAGCAGGTGAAGGGGTACACGGTGGGAGGAGGTGACCCACCATGGTTGTACTATTCCTTCTGTTGTAGTACAATTGCTGCATTGAGTGAAAACTCTATTATTCAAGTGTTAACATGAGCATGCTCGTATTAATATAGAAACTGGCATGACAAATACATACATAGCATGCATAACAAATCAACTACCAAATCATAAGCTTGAGCTTGACTTCTGGTCATTGTCTTCTTGAGCTTGACTTGTTGTCATTGTCTTCTTGACCCCTCTTGGCCGCTAGAGGCAAGCCTCTAGCGTTACACCCGGACACCGCGTTGAGGTGGAGGTCATTCGTCCGGGACCCTGTTGGAAAAGAGGGCAGAAAGTTAGTAAAGCTGCCATCCGGCAGGAACACCTCAAGCTTCAAGTTGTCCGATGCCAGGAAGAAGCAACCTTCCGCAGATTTTTGCTTCAGGAGCAGCCGAAGAAGGTCGGTGCAGGTGGAGGGTCCATACGTTCGGTCTGTCAGCCGTTCGTTCCATCGCCGCGGGATCTACCGTCAGTTCGGCCAGTCAGTTCGCACGTCGCCAGGTCGCGGGATCTAAACGTTCGTCTGTCAGTTCGCACGTCGCCAGGTCGCAGGATCTAGCGTTCGGTCTGTCAGTCAGTCCGTTCGTTCGTCGCCGGATCTAGCTCGCCTAACGTTCCGTCTGTCGGTTCGCCCGTCACAGTAAATCTGCAGCTGCTGTTCTTCGGCGTGACCTGGGGGTGGAAAAAAGAGAGGAGAAGGTGATACGATCGCAGCAGCAGAACAATACAAAACAAAACAAGCAGAACGAACAGAAACAATTGCAGAAACAAAAACCGAAGCATAAGTACGAAGGGATCTTACACATCTTTGTCAAAGAAGACTCCTTGTCCGCTGCCGCGTTCCTCCTCCCGCAATCTGCGGGGGGAGGAGAAGAAAAAGAGGAGAAGGGGTGATAGTAGACGCCACGCTCCTCGCTAAACCTGCAACGCAGAAGAATACAACCAAAGAGAAGTTAGTGAAAAAAAGCTCCTCCTCCCGTGATCTGGGGGGCGAGGAGAAGAAACAGAGGAGAAAGGGAGAGTGATAACTTCCGCCACGGCTCCATGCTAAAACCTGCAATGCAAAAAAATAAACCAAACGGAAGTTAGTAAAAAACAAACACAAAAATAAAAAGCAACATAAACAGGAACAACAACAAAGACATAAACAACAAATGAAACTGAAAGTAAAGGAGTTCACCGTTATGTATTGGCGGAGTAGATCTGACCGTGCTCCTCCTCTCGTGATCTGGAAGGGGAGGAGAAGAAACAGAGGAGAAAGGGAGGGTGATAACTTCCGCCGCGGCTCCATGCTAAAACCTGCAATGCAAAAAAATAAACCAAACGGAAGTTAGTAAAAAAAAAAAAAAAAAAAAAAAAAAAAAAAAAAAAAAACAACAACAACAACAACAAAGGCACAACATAAACAGGAACAACAACAAAAATTGAAAGCAAATGAAGAGGAGAGTTTACCGATATTACCTTATTGGCGGAGTGACAGCGATGCTCCTCCTCCCATGATCTGAAGGGGGAGGAGAAGAAACATAGGAGATAGGAAAGTGATAGGGACTGCCGCGGCTCCTTGTGTACCTGAAAGGCACGAGGGAAAAACGCCTCTGCCTTCTCTCTTCGTCTGGTCTTCGTGTGCCTGAAAGGCACGAGTGAAAAACGCCTCTGGCTTCTCTTCTCTTCTGGTCTTCGTGTGCCTGAAAGGCACGAGTGAAAAACGCCTCTGACTTTTCTACTCTTCTGGACTTCGCTTGCCTGAAAGGCACGAGGGAAACGCCTCACGCCTCTGTCTTCCCTTCACGCGCGCGCGTTCTTCTGTAGCCTGAAAGGCACGATGTGGAAACTCAAGTCGGGACGGCTCCTCTGTTGTGCTCTGTGCGGTGCTTGGCTGTCTTCAAGTCTTCAAGTTGATAATGAAACAGAACTGAATATGAAGTTGCAGCAAGGGTGGAAAACACATTCTCGAATCGCGTGCTACTGTACCACTGGTCTGACTAGAAGAGTCAGAACAGTGGTGGGTGGCAGGGAGGGAAGGTAGCAGTGTGCGCCAAAAATTGGTTGGCACGGAGTCAGAACAGAACTGTCGTGGGAGTGAAGCGCGGTCATCCCATGAAGTGGTTGTTTCTGCTTGAAGTTGCTTATGGTTTAGTTGCTGCGTTATGGTTTGCAGATTTGTAGAGAACACTTTTGGGTTATGTTTTGTTCTGTTAGATTCAAATATTTGATCCAATTGGGAATGTGCCACCAGGTTTCTTGCCTTACTAGGTTATAGTCTAGGCTGAACCTTTTGCGTGAGGTGCGGAACGGCATGAGTAGAGAGAGAGAGAGAGAGAGAGAGAGAGAGAGAGAGAGAGAGAGAGAGAGAGAGAGAGAGAGAGAGAGAGAGAGAGAGAAAAAAAAGGGGTTGGGATGTTTTGAGTAAGAATGTCTTTTGGCTGCAAGAAGTTTTGCTGGTGTCAAATCAAGATTGGGGCAAGGGAAGGAAGGGGCTGGGATGAAAAAAAATCTTCGAGGCCCAATCAAAACGGAGAGGGGAAGGGTGGGAAAGTTTTTTTGGGCAGAGAGGAGATGGTGTTTCAGTTGGTTGGTCAGACCTTGGTGTTGCCTCTTGTTCCACCTGCTGAGATTGGTTGACCTAGTTTCGATTTCCACCGAACGAGAGTTTTGCTCAATTCCGCGGAATCGCGGTTCGTTTTATTTTCGCCACGTGCCATGCCTTCGATCGTGGGAACCGCGATCTGATTTATTGTTCCCACAATTTTTAAAAGAAAACATAGTTAGGCTTAGTGAGTCACATGTACTGCCCTGCCCGCGGACAAAAATAAAACCCCTAAAGGAAAAACATGCGTTAGGGATGCATCAACCCTAAACACATAGAGGCAAGGTGTTTAGGGTTGATGCCTCTCTAACGCATGCCATGCCCGAATGGGTTTTATTTTTGCCCGCGGGCAGCGCGGTACATAACTTAACTAAGTTTCTCTTGAACTTTGTGGGAACAGTAAAACAGATCGCGGTTCGCGCGATCGAAGGCTTGCCACGTGGCGAAAATAAAACGAACCGCGCTTCCGCGGAATTGAGCAAAATTCTCACCGAACTCGTTGTATCGCCTTTCGCCCGATCGTAGTTAGCTTGTTCTTAGTTCCGCCCGCCACATGTCCTAGAGCGTTGCGAATAGTAGCGTGGTGAAGGGTAGTAACGATCTGCCAGATGCTGCTTACTATCTATAGGAAGAATCGCGATTAATCTACTGTCGATTTCGTACAACCGAGCCTTCGCGAAGCATCTCTTATCTTGACGGATTGCCTTATCGCAGCGCACTCAATTAGCGGTTTCAATATTGTAATTTCGTTCCGCGCTATACAGCGCGCGCGTCGCTATGTTTCCGTGACACGCGCTGTCTCCAACGATTCGCGCTATGCTCCGTCTTTCCCCCTTCTCGTTCCTAATCACCCCTAATCATCCCTCATTCCAAATCTCCTCTCATCCCCAATGCCCCTCTTCTCGTCCGTAATCACCCCTCGTTCCTCCTGCGCGGTCACTGCACATCCTTATCTCGCGCTCGAGTCATTTACTCTTCGCCGCTCATCTGCCAATTGCTCCCCCGCATTCTCTTATCAGTTACGTCGCATTTCCTTTTCGCTCACCCCGCATCCCCCTCGCTTACCTCACATTCCCCGTCGCTCACCCTTTTTCCCCCCGTCGCTCACCCGTTATTCCCCCGTCGCTCACCCCTCATTCACCCGTCGCTCACCCCTCTTTCCTTTCCCCCGTCGCTCACCCGTTATTCCCCTGTCGCTCACCTCACCCCTCACTTCCCCTCTTGTCGCTCACACCTATTTCCGTCCTGAGCTCTCCCCTCATGACCTCCCCCCTCCCTCTCCTCTCCCCCCCCCCCCTTCTTCACCCCTCAGTTCCCCCCTTCGCTCACCTCTCGTTTCCCTGTTTCACTCACCTCTCATTCCCCCCCTTCACTCACCCCTTGTTTCCCCCATTTGCTCACCCTCATTTCCCCCCGTCTCTCACCCCTCATCCCCCGCGTCGCTCACCCCACATTTCCCCCATTTCACCCTCCGTTTCCCCGTCACTCTCCCCTCATCCCCCCTCCCCCCCCTCCCCTTCTCCCTTCCCCCGTTGCTTTCCCCCACCCTCTGTCACCTCTCATTCCTGTCCCTCACCCCTTATTCATTCCACATCCATCTCCCAATCCGAATGTACCAACTCCCTGTGCATTTCTGCTCACCCTGTTTCCACTCACATGTCTGAGCCGCTGTTTCCCCACTGCTCCCCTCGCCTCTCCCCACCTCTCCCCATCCCACTCCCATCGCTCGTCCCTCTCTCCCATCTCCTTCCTCCTCCTATTTCACTTCCCCCACTCTCATCTCACTTCCTTCCATCCACCCCCCCCATATACCCGTTGTCTTCCTTCCAGCGGCCTTGCGCTGTCCGGTCCTGCCAAATTCCCTACCCCCTCACAGCCTTTCCCTGTTTCCTCCTTATTCCCTGCGCACCCATCATTCCAGCTGCTCTTGTTGCCACGACCAGAGGGATCACCCCCTCTTTCACCTCCCCCCGACCCCCCCCACCCACCCCGTTGCAGCCTCCTCATATCCCTTCTGTCAGACATTGGCCTTGGCCCGTCTCTGTCGCCTTATCACCCGCACCCTCGCCCTCACCCTCACCCTCACCCTCGCCCTCACCCTCGCCCACTTCTTTGTTGTAACTAGATAGCCTGTCCGAGCATACCCATCGATTCAGTGATATCACCCTGTCCCCTCCTCCCTCTTCCCTCCCGAACTGCTCACTCCGTCCCCCCGTCGCGCACACCTCATTACCCTGTCGCTCACTCTTGATTTTCCCCCCTCCCGCACCCTTCCGCCCTCATGTCCCCCACGTCCTCCCGCCTCCCCTGTCACCTCTCATTCCCCCCCGACCCTCGCTCCTCGCTCCCCTTCATTTCCCTTCAATCCCTACTTCCATCTCTTCTCCCACTCTCATCTCTCTTCTCCAACTCCCATCTCTCTTCTCCAACTCCCATCTCTCTTCCCCAACTCCCATCTCTCTTCCCCAACTCCCATCTCTCTCCCCCCACTCCCATCTCTCTTTCCCCATTCCATCTCTCTTTCCCCATTCCATCTCTCTTTCCCCTCCCCCCCTTCACTCCCATTTCTACTTCCCCACCCCCACATCAGCTTTCCCATTCTCATCCCACTTCCCTCCCATCTGCTCTCCATCTTATTCCCCTTGCTTCCTTACTGTCAGCAGCATTGTTGACCCCCCATAGTTCCACTTCCTTTTTGTGTGATATCTCAAATTGTTGGTATTATATTTGACAGATCATCCAAGTTTACTGCCAATATGTTTTTACAGGTCGGCTGGGCTGGATTCATGCAAGTTAGGGAATGACGACGACTCTGCCCTTGTTTTGTGTTGAGTTAACAATGTTTGAGTTTATTCAGGATAATATTTGATAAGTTCACAATAATATCCTCCAGGATAAACCACATTGAATTACGTAAAGCCACTCCCTAGAACTTACATTGATTAACCACCCATAATGACACGAATACAATATCATTGGTAGCTCAGAGCAGCCAGTACGTGGCGTGTGGTTGGGAGCACCTCACGCACAATAGGGAGGTGCCAAGGTGATCGTCTGACTGACGAATAGAGCCACGGAGCGACAGCATCGTAAAAGTCTTGGAAGCGAGTCGCAAACAGCCCCTCCCAGTCAACCTGACACATAAACAAGCATCGTTGAAAAGGAAAAGAAAGAAACAAACAAACACACAGACAACCTGTGTCACCTCACACTGCGATGCTGTGTCATTTATCAGCACATCGTTTCGAATGCGGGAGTAATTCAAGCGGAGACATGGAGAGGTGGAAGATGGAGGCATTACCAGCAGCAATAGACTGGACTCACCAGAACATCCCTTGGGATGCGCGCAGTGGTCTCCATGTCAGCAGCCATGGAAAGGCCGAGGATGGAGATGATTAGAGGGGTAAAGGAAGGATGGACTCACCAGGACATCCCTTGGGATGCGCGCAGTGGTCTGCATGTCCGCAGCCATGGAGAGGCCGAGGATGGAGACCAGCCCCACCATGGCGGACCCGCGCGACAGCGGCATGAGCTGGAACCAGTAGTAGCTGATGCGCAGAATGTTCTCCCGAATGCGCTGCTGGTACAGGCTGCTGTCTGTGGCCCTCGTCGGCAGATCTAACACTGCTGCTGACAGGCTCTGGGTTAGAGAAGAGTTTGGCAGGGGGAGAGGGTAAGAGAGGGGGTAATGACTCTTACGAGGAGGAGTGTGGTACCTGGAAGCACAACCATTAAAAATACCACTATCATCAGCCCACCTACCACCCACACTGCAAATGCTTGTGGCACCAGCAGGACTGACACCAGCACCAGCAGGACTGACACCAGCACCAGCAGGACTGACACCAGCACCAGCAGCACCAGTGGTAATACCCGCACCACAACACAAGCACCAGCACCGCAGGCTCTACCAATAACAGCAGCACAAGCATCATCAGGTCCAGCAGCGACAGCACCACCAACACCGCATAGCCACCACCAGCACCAGTACTAGTAGCAGAAACACTCACCTCCCAAGCAGCAGTGAGCTCATCATCCAACTGGCCCCACTGCGTGGCAGAGTTCTTGGTGTACGTCTGAAAGTCGATTGACAGCGCCCTGAGGAGCGGGACAATCAGGATGGTTGGACAGAACGGCGGGCGAAATTTGAAGGTGAGGGTTGGAACAATGGGATGGATTGGGTGGAGCAAGGGGGTAGCAGGGGCGAAACGGGGGATGAAGCGTGGGTAGCAAGGAGGGTGAGAGCATGGGACAATGAGGTTTGAGTTTGCAGAGTTGGCATGAGAGGGCGATAGAGAGCGGAGGTGCACGGAGGTGAGTGCTTACTTCTTTTCCAACTTGAACTCTGTTCCATGCAACACCATTCTGGATACGAGGGAGGGAGACGAAGAGCATTCAAACGAGAAAGAGGGGCCAGGGTTGGAGACAGGGGAGTGGGGACGTGTATTGCAGCCAGCAATTTGCATACCAAACAAACATCTGCCATCATGCGAGCACAGAGGTCACATCGAGTGCGCAACCCAGCAGGGACGGAGGTAGGGGTGGGGCATGCTGATATGCGCACACATATCAATCAGCATGCGCACAGCATGTTGTGAATCAATCAACTGACCCGGGGTTGGCCATGCTGTGCAGGGGCAGGCGCAGATAGAAGTCCCGACCAATGGCATGGTACAGCCCCTCATGGCCCTTTGCTGCTTCTATCTGCTTAGCACAGAGCAAGGAAGCACAGGGATGGGGCATACTGAAGCGCGGAACAGCCCCTCGTGGCAATTTGAGTCAAGGAAGAGGGGCATACTGAAGCAAGCAAGGTACGCCTTGTCATGGCCCCCAGAGAATTTATTTCCCCGCACCTTGGGCCCGTACGTGTCGCGGGGGACAGGGATGACGTTCCCATCCTCGTCCAGTGCCTCCTGCCCTTCGAGAAGTCCCTTCCGTGTCACCTCCACTGCCCTGGTGGGCTCACACGCACATGGGGAGTAACAGGGGGAAGGGCAGGGGGGTGGAAGGGCGTAAGGTGGGAAGAGGTGGATGGGAGACCGAGTGGCATGACAAGAACCAAGAGGACAGTTCTGACGGGTTAACAAGCCACAAGCAGCACCGCAAACAGCAAAGCAAGCAACAACGCAATCAGCACCGCCCCAAGAGAAACCGTTTGCCTGCATGAAGAAACCAAGCTACCATGTGCATCGGTCTACTCGGCATCGCACCTGTCATATATAGCATTGTATTTGGCACTGAACTGCTTCCACGTGTGGATGGGAGTGTGCGAATGGAAGCTCCCCTGAAAGCGCTGGTTCCTGCAATGCAGGTGGGGGCAGCACAAGGGCAACAGAAGGGCAAGACAAGGGCACACCTGTCATAGATGGCATTGTACTTGGCGCTGAGCTGCTTCCACGTGTGGATCGGAGTGAATGATTGAAAGTTCCCCTGAAACCGCTGGTTCCTGCGAGTCGGGGGAACATAAGGGAGAAGGGAAGTGGGAGCCATTCAGAGGGCGTTCAGAGGCCGAACGAACATCTCAGTGCTGCGTGTTCAGAAAATCGGGCAACGCAAAGGAAAAGGAAAGGAAAGGTGGTAAAAACGGAGACGGAGCAGGCAAGAGGGAGGGAGCAGAGGAGGCGGGCGGGCGGGAGGGACTTGAACATAAACCTTCCAAAGCAAAGGCTCGGTAGGGTCGGAGTGGAAGGGTAAGGGAAGGGAAAGGAAGGAAGGAGCAACCGGCAGCCAGCACACAAGAGGTAGGGAGGAAGCAGAGGAGGCGGGCGGGACAAACTTGAACATGGCCTTCCAGAGCGGCGGCTCGGTGGGGTCGGAGAGCTGGCGCCACGGCACCATGACTTGGAATAGCTGCCTCCAGCTCCCCACCAGCTGCACTGACTCGCTCCCTCCACTCCCTCCACTCCCACCGGCCCCATCACTCCCGCTGCCCTCACCACTGCCTGAAATACGACTCCACGGCATCCGAGGGGGCGATGTGAGCCCGTCCCATGGGCCCTCGCCATCCCTGCCTTCCTCCTCCTCTCCCCCTTCCCCCTCCTCCTCGTCTTCTTCGTTGTCCACGATGCTTGGCAGGCGCCCCCCGTCTGCTATAGCCTCCCATGTGGCCCGCACCCGCTGCATCACGTCTAGAGCTGCCAGTCCTGCCATTCGCAGCTGGGAGGGGTGAGATGCGGTGTGAAAGGTTTGGGGGGGATGAAAGGTTTGAGGAGGATGGGACCGTCAACCCGATTTTCGTTCAGATATTCCTCTCTTGAACAGCTAGACAAGATGCCACAAGTCAACCTGCTGTTTGTGACAGCTGGACATGATGCCACGTGTCTCACCTGCTGCTTGTTTGGCATCACACCATCCGTATCGTAGTGGGCCCGCCAGCCAATCTCATCCGCTACTGCGATCACAGCCAACGCCTCCTCTGACAGCTGTGGCAGCAACTGCCACGTGGCACCCTCCAATTGGCTGGCCGGGACAGAGAGGTTCTGGTAGTTCGACAGGCCTGGAGGCACCTTCCTGTTCAGCCACGCCACCTGCGAGGTCAATGCCAGTCAGCAGCAGTCAACGTCAGTCAACAGCAGTGCATGGCATGCATAGTAGTGGGTCCGGCATGCAAAGCACAGAGCGTGGGTAGGGGTTGCAAGCATGCATGGATGGCACAGGGCGTGAGTAAAGGCTGTAGCATGCATGTCATGGTGGCATGGCACGGACAGACCTTGAAGTCCACATCCATGTCGTCATCCATCTGGAAGGCTGCTCTGGAGAACTCCAACATGCCGCTCACAAAGCAAGCCATGGGTAGGGGGATAGGGGCTGTCGCATGCATGGGTGTTAAGGGTCTGTTCACAGACCTTGAAGTCCACGTCCATGTCGTTGTCTATCTGGAAGGCTGAGAAGGGCTGGTCGAGCCGCGCCACTGTGTACAGCAGCACCTCCCTCTGATGGAGGAGCAATCAGAAGAGAAGAGCATTGGCAATAGGTAAAGCAGAGGAACGAGCAGGAAGGAGAGGGTGTTGAAAAGGGCAGGGGCAGCGTGGGCACTGGGGAAACACACAGGGCAGCGAGCAGGAGGGATGAGAGGACATGGGCGGGACGAGCAGGAAAAATTCGCAGACAGGGCGAGCATGCGGAACGAGCAGGTGGAAGGGGAGGGGTGGATGGTAAGTACCTGGTAGAAGGCGAGTGCCTTCGCTCATAGGGGTGGATGGTAAGTACCTGGTAGAAGGCGAGTGCCTTCGCTCATAGGGGTGGATGGTAAGTACCTGGTAGAAGGCGAGTGCCTTCGCTCATAGGGGTGGATGGTAAGTACCTGGTAGAAGGCGAGTGCCTTCGCTCATAGGGGTGGATGGTAAGTACCTGGTAGAAGGCGAGTGCCTTCGCTCATAGGGGTGGATGGTAAGTACCTGGTAGAAGGCGAGTGCCTTCGCTCATAGGGGTGGATGGTAAGTACCTGGTAGAAGGCGAGTGCCTTCGCTCATAGGGGTGGATGGTAAGTACCTGGTAGAAGGCGAGTGCCTTCGCTCATAGGGGTGGATGGTAAGTACCTGGTAGAAGGCGAGTGCCTTCGCTCATAGGGGTGGATGGTAAGTACCTGGTAGAAGGCGACTGCCTTCGCTCATAGGGGTGGATGGTAAGTACCTGGTAGAAGGCGACTGCCTTCGCTCATAGGGGTGGATGGTAAGTACCTGGTAGAAGGCGACTGCCTTCGCTCATAGGGGTGGATGGTAAGTACCTGGTAGAAGGCGAGTGCCTTCGCTCATAGGGGTGGATGGTAAGTACCTGGTAGAAGGCGACTGCCTGGTTGAACGTCATGTGCTGCTCTGTGGCCGTTGCTAGGAGATGGTCGTACAAGGAGAGCTGCGGAGGACAGATTAGAAGGGGACAGGGAAGCGATTGACAGAGGGACAGAGGGACAGAGGGACAAAGGGACAGAGTGACAGAGGGAACAAAGCAGATGAAAAGCGGGCACGTAGAGCAGCTTTGATAGCCAGAGTGGCCACATCTCTAAACCATCAACATCCATAGCATTCACATCTGTAGCAGGGACTCACAGCTGTAGCAGTGACTCACGGCTGTGGCATGGTCGCCCAGCGCGTGGTGCATGGAGGCGCGCACGTACAGCAGCTCGCTGTCCTCTGGGCTGAACGCCAGGCCCTTGTTGCACCACTCGATGGCGCCCCTGTGCGGTTAGGTTGGGTGCGGTGCAGAGGGGTGGAGATAGGTGGAATGAGTTTCTAGGAGTCTCAGGGACCTCTCACAGGAGGCATGGAGGCGCGCACGTACAGCAGCTCGCTGTCCTCTGGGCGGAATGCCAGGCCCTTGTTGCACCACTCTATGGCGCCCCTGTGCGGTTGGGTGCGGCGCAGAGAGATGGGGATGGGTGGGGTGCGTTCTGAGTCGACTTAGTAATCAGCTCTATGGCATTAGTGTGTGGTTGGAGCGAAGGGGATAGATGGGGGGGGGGGATGCAAGAGAGCAGAGAACATGAGCACGAAGGGAAACCAAGCCACTGCTTGCTGCAGCACTCATCTGTAGCATGGTGATAGTCACACACAGAACAGAACCAACCCGTATTTAGAGTGCAAGGTTTTTTATGGTTCATGGTGTAGAGCTGCTGGGACCTAACATGGTGTAGAGCTGGGTGAACTACAGGATTATTAAAAACCTTTTTCCTTGGCTCACCAGTGATCCCCTTGATAGCGCCTCGTGGCTACCAGGTTGCGGTATGCATCAATGTTCCTGCCACCACGCACAACCACGCACAACCACACGGGGGAAAAAACGGAGATAAGAAGCTAAAAATCGCCCTCACAGGCAGAGCAAATGACAGCAGCCTCCTCACTCCCCTCCCCACCCATCCCCTCCCCTCACCTCGTCTTCTCTCCCTCCCCCCCACCTACTCTTGCACGGAGAGCGCCATGAGCAGTGAGCCCACAGCCTTATCCCCCTCCCCCAGGATGCGGTGTGTGATGCCCTTCTGCACCCACGCCTCGCCCTCCTCCGGGTGTGCCTCCCCCAGGTGTGCCTCCCCTGGGCGTGCCTCCCCCGGGCATGCATTCCCTGGGTCCGCCTGTACAGCCGCCTCCCAGAACGGCTGTGCCTCGCGGTAGCGGTTCAGGCGCAGCAGAGAGAGCCCGACCTGTGTGAGCAGCTGAGTGTTGGCCGGGTCGCGGGTGAGTGCAGGGACGAGGTCCTCCAGGGCTGCTGCGTAGTGCTCTATCTCAAACGCACTCATGCCTGCGATTGGTGGGGGGATGAGCAGGGGGGACGGGGAGGAGGAGGAGGGGTGGTTGAGGGAGGCGCAGCAGTGAGTGCGCCACCTGTATGGTAATGAAAGGTAGCAGCAGACGTAGTGGTGTTGTGTGCTACCCCAAAACATGCACGAGCTTTTCCTTCCCACACCGGCATTTCCCCGTCCTACCTCGGAACCGCCTGGCCTTGTCGTTCTTGGGGTCCAGCTCCACTGCCTTGACGAAGGCACTGTGCGCCTGATGGGGGGTTGTGGAATACATGGGGCAAGGACGCAGGAAGCAAGCACGAGAGCAGGAGATGTGGGTGCTGAATTTTCTCCAAACATACTTGTCGTTCTTGGGGTCGAGCTCCACTGCCTTGACGAAGGCACTGTGCGCCTGATGGGGCCATGGGCAGGGGGGAACGAAGGATGCGAAAGGGAGGTGGGTTATTAGGGAGATTTCCGAAGGCCAACTGTCGTTGTGGGGGTCGAGCTCCACTGCCTTGACGAAGGCACTGTGCGCCTGAAGGGGGGGTGAGTGATGCAGGACGCAAGAGAGCAAGAGAGCAAGACCATGAGAGCAAGAGAGCAAGAGCATGAGAGCAAGAGGGCAAGAGAGCAAGAGGGAATGAGAAGTGGTTTGAATAGACCAACTGCTGCCGTTGTGGTGGCGGGTAGTCCAGCTTCACTGCCTTGACAGATGTGCTGTGCGCCTGATCGGGGTGTTGGATGGAAGGCAGGCACAGGGGAAGGTTGCAGAAGCAAGAGAGCAAGAGAGCAAGAGACATGATACGGACGCACATGGCGCGGAGAGTGATAGATGTGGCTAGCCCACGCCACTCACGTTGGCATAGTCGTTCAGAAGCGTGTACTCCTGCCCCAGCTCCACCCAGTAGTTTGCCTTCTGTGGCTGCTTCTCCACTGCCTGCAGTGAGCACAGCAAAGAGCACAGAAGACAAGGAGAGGGTGATCGCCGTGGGTACATCATACGTGCTCTCTCTCTCTCTCTCTCTCTCTCTCTCTCTCTCTCTCTCTCTCTCTCTCTCTCTCTCTCTCTCTCTCTCTCACACACACACACACACACACGGACGCGGACACTCACAAGCTCAGGCGCACAAGCACAGACGCACGCACACAGGCTGGGATTCGCGCACTTTTCACAGAGTTGCATGGCAGAAGCGCATCTCCCTTCCATGGATCGAATGAACCAGGTTAATGGGCTAACTCCTCCAGTGCTCGCCATAACCCAACCCCACTCGCCTGCTTCAAGTCAAGAGCCGCCTGCTGGTGCTGCTTCAGCATGGAGCGAGCAACGCCCCTGCCATGCAGCATGGAGCCGTAGAGGCGCGAGAGAACCGCGTCCAGCTGAACGGTGAGGAGGACAAGGAGAGGGGAGAGGGGGGGAGAGGAGGGGAGAGGAGGAGCCGCACGAGGACAAGGCAGGGGTGATCTGAGTGTGAATAACTGGATGGAAGGTACCCCTGCCGTGCAGTATGAAGCCATAGAGGCGCGAGAGAACGGCTTCCTTCCTGCTGCGAGGGAGGGGAGGAAGGGGAGGGCCCGAGGGGTCACACGAGGATAAGGTAGGGGGGTGGTTTGAGTGTAAATAATCTGCTTAATATGTACCCTGAGGTGCAGCATGGAGCCGTAGAAGCGGAAAAGAACGGAGTCCAGCTGAGATGTGAAGGAGGCGAAGGAGAGGGGTCACAGGACGATAAGGCAGGGGCGTGACGTGATGTGATGTGATGTGAGCGTGACTCAACCGGATGGACGGTACCCTGACATGTGGCAAGCGGCGCACAACTGCAATGGATGCAAGAGAACACATACCTTGAAGTTTTGAACCATGCGATACCACCGGGAAGGCAACGGAGAGGAATGCTGACTGACCTTATCGTACAAGTCGATGGCCTCCTCATAGTTCCTCGCCTTGAGCTGTGAGGCGAGGCCATCGCACATGATCCGCTCCGCGTGATGCGAGCGAACATTTTAACGGCCACGCAGGGATAGAACAGAGTGGAGCGAAATGAAGTAGAAATGAGCACCATAGATCAGATTGGTGCAGGCCGAATCGGAATGGAGCACATTGAATGAGTGTGTTGCACAGTGGAGCATCATGGAGCACCATTGAGCACGCAATGAAACGCAAGCGATAATGGAAATGCGTGGAAGCCTGAAAGACGCCGATCAAACACACGTTAAACATGAAAGGGCGCGGCGATAAATTGAGGGTAAACACACGAACAAAGCACCTTGGCATGTCCGTCTGCCAACAACACGTAAGGATCCATGCGAGCGTTGCCGTCGTCACCGGATTTGCCGTCGACATTTGAACGGTCCGTTAGGTTCCCGTCCTTTTCTGCTGTCGCTGCTGCTTCCGCTGCGTTGTCGCCACTCGCGTCGCATTCCCCGGCGACGGCGCATGTACCTGGTAATGCGTCGGCTCGAAATAGCGATAAGGTGAGCAGAAGGAAGACGAAGAGAATCGACAGGAGCTGCATAGGCGACAGCGTGGACTGCTTTATAGAGCACCGTGAGTCCATGCTGTCACAATATCGCTTACGATGCACAATTTCACAGTGCCTGTTCACCGCATTTCCGCAGAGTTACAACACTGTAGTTAGAAAAAAAAAAATCCTACCGAAAACAATCTACCGCCTAGTGCTCTCAGTCTAGCTTGCGTAATTGACGGCGCACGCTAGTGGTTAGGCCGTAATGCTGGGGTTGATCACACGTGGCACAAAGAGGCGCTGATGCAGCTTCCACTTTTCCCAACCCAACTACCGCGTGTTTGGCCAGTGCTGCCGGCTCCAGAACCAAACTTCGGAAGGTCGCATATCCCTAAGGGCGTGTGTGATTTTTGATTTTGCCACAAGTTTATGTTTTTGACTCGATTTAAGCATTTGAACATGACTCGACTTTGAGCATTGGCAATGTTCGAACCGCAGGTGACAATGCTTGTAGATTCACAATCACACACGAAAGTGCGAATTTGCACGTTCGAGATTACAGGGGGGGAACCGAGCCGCCTATAGGGTGCGTAGGTTACCCGGTATTGTCTTCTTGACAGCGCGACACGTCAACGAATCGCTGCTAAAAAAAGTGCCGGGGACGAAAGATTCGCGAGCGGGGGACTCTGCTACGGGTCTCGGATGTGCCTCCATTGGTGCACGAAAACTTCGCGAGTTTCGTTGGTTCCTCGTACGCGCCTGAAACCATACACAAAGTTTGTGCATATATTCGAATCTTGTTCACATTTGTAGGTTCGCACCTGGTAGTCTTGAAATCGGAGTCACCATTGGCGAAATCTTTTGCGAACATTGACGAAACTGGTTACCACCTAAAGTTCGACCTATATACGAACCCCAAAAAAATCACACACGCCCTAACAAGATACGAAGACTCTAATTTGCTCACCCTAATACAAGAATAACATTTCAAGTGCAAAACCATTTGTAGATGGTGATGTGATGCCAACAAATAGGACTACTTAGCATTCTAAAATCATGGGTGCAGATTTTCATGGCTTGATGCTACGACCACAATCAAATGAGATAAAATGAGACAGCGCGGCGGGTTCATATTAATACAGTAGAGCAACGACGTGTTCGAGCAATGTATAGCAAATCTGCAACTGTCAGAACGCAGGTGCGAGCTAGGCTCAAAGTATTTACATTTCAATATGGATGCGAAACGAGGTACAGCAGCTGCAAGACACTCAAAGTCCTCCTGCCTGTCCTCAAGGACGTCTGTGCCAAGAGCACACTCACCCCCGACGGACAGAGGACTGGCAGACTCAGACTCAGCAACAAGAGCAGTAGCGTAGTCTAGACGGCAGGCAGCAGCAAAGTCAAGCAGCTCAGCAACGAGGGGAGACGCAGCAGCAGACTCAAAAGAAGGGTCAATGACATCAGTGGCAAGGAGACGAGAGACAGTGGGACTGGCAGCCAGGCCCCTAGATTGGTTTTGGGGTTGGCTGAAAAAACAGAGTTCACTGGTAAATTTACGCTGAAAATCAGCCAAAAATGACATTTTTCATTAAAAACCACTAGAAAATCACCAAGATTTTTGGGGAAAAGGCTGACGAATCAGTCTTGGTACAGAAAAAAAGGCTGAAAAAAAGGCTGAATCAGGGTAAAAAGGCTGAAATCTAGGGGCCGGCTGGCAGCACGAGCACGGCCAGACTCAGGGTCAGGGACCTCAGGAAGAGAGGACTCAGGAGGAGCAGGCAGAGGAACACGCAATGGAACAGAGGAAGGACGGAGTGTCATAGTGTGCGTGCCCGGCATAGGAGGAGGACGCGAACGAGGAACGGGACGAGCAGTACGAACAGGGGAGGCAGGACGAGACGCAGGCTCACAACCCTCTGTAAGACCGCCGGACTACTCAGTGTTGGGAGAAGGAGCATGCAGTGGGGAGGCTGGCTATAACGGCAGCTGCGACAGGTCAGGCGGTGGACACAGTAAGGGAGGAGGAAGGCCAGTAGAAGACGGGACACCAAGAACGTGTTGAAGCAGGGGAACAAAGTATGGTCGCAGCCGCACAGTGCCTCCAGGGTCAACAGCTCCAGCTCCTCCAGCACTAGCGCCTCCCCCGCCAGTGCCTCCAACTCCAGCTCCTCCAGCTCCAGCGCCTCTAGCGTCAGTTCCACCGGTGCCAGCGCCTTCCGCGCCAGTGCCTCCAACTCCAGCTCCCCCAGCTCCAGTGCCACCAGCGCCAGAGCCTCCAGCTCCAGCAGCTCCAGGCTCCGTAGGGTCTCCAGCTCCAGCGCCCCCAACACTACCAATCTCGGCAGCTCCAGTACCCCTGGTACGAGCACCTCCAGGATTAGCAGTCGCAGGACCTCCAGTATCACCAGCTCCAGCGGCTCCAGCGGCTCCAACGCCTCCAGCTCCGGTAGCTCCACTCCGAAGGCGTGCACGCCGAACAAGCCACTCACGCAGCTAACACGGAGACAGTCTCGGCGAAGCACCAGCAGGACCTCCAGACGAAGCAGCACCCCGAGGCTCAGTACCTCCAGACGAAGCAGCACCCCGAGGCTCAGTACCCCCAGGCTCAGCTCCCCTAGCTCCAGTGCCACCAGCGCCAGAGCCTCCAGCTCCAGCAGCTCCAGGCTCCGTAGGGTCTCCAGCTCCAGCGCCCCCAACACTACCAGTCCCGGCAGCTCCAGTACTCCTGGTACGAGCACCTCCAGGACCAGCACTCGCAGGACCTCCAGTACCACCAGCTCCAGCGGCTCCAGCGGCTCCAAAGCCTCCAGCTCCGGTAGCTCCACTCCGAAGGCGTGCACGCCGAACAAGCCACTCACGCAGCTAACACGGAGACAGTCTCGGCGAAGCACCAGAAGGACCTCCAGACTCCGCACCCTCCGACTCAGCACCCCCAGGCTCAACACCCTCAGGCTCAGCACCCCCAGGCTCCACACCCGCAGGCTCAGTACCCCCAGGCTCAGCACCCCCAGGCTCAGCACCCACAGACCCAGCACCCTTTGACTCCGCAACCTCCGGCTCCGCACTCCCAGACGCAGCAACTCCAGACGCAGCACCTCTAGCAGCACCTGAGCCGACAGCTACCTCAACAGGCGCAGTACCAGGGAGAGGGTCTACCTGAGACACACCTGAGGGAGAAGGACCCTGGGGCGGGAGGGGGTCTACCGGAGGGGGACCGGGAGCAAGGAAGAGCGGCGGGGGCAGGGGACGGGAAGAGCGGTAGGGGAAGAGACGGTAAAAGGGAACCGACTCGTCGAACGTGACGTCCTGAGAAGAGAAGACACGGCGTGAGGTGGGGTGGTAAAACTGCCAGCCAGGCGCGTTAGGGACAAAGCCAAGAAAGACGCAGGGGATAGCACGGGCGGAGAGCTTGTCCGCGGACGTATCGCGAACAAAGGCACGAGAACCTCAGACCCGGAACACCGATGCATCGCCAACCTCCCCCGTCCAACGCAGTGTGGGCGAGGTCTCCAGCAAGGAGACACGGGGCCAGAGGTTGAGCTGATGCACAGCGTACCGGACCGCAAACGGCCACAGAAAATGGGGAGCAACCACATGGATCATGGAGGTACGAGCGACCTCCATGACTAAGCCAATGCGGCACTCAGCAATCCAATTTTGCTGCGGTGAGGCCGGAAGCGTGAACGGCTGGAGAATGCCCTCCCCACGACAAAAGTCCCGCAAGAGGTCAGAGGAGAACTCACCACCTCTGTCAGAGTGCAGACGCAGGTCCTGGCGGAACTGCTCGCGGAGCTGGAGACGGACTGCGCGGATCCAAGGGATCAAGACATCAACGACCTGACCGTTACTGCGCAAGGGGAAGATTGTGGTGTACCGCGTGTAGTCTTCAACAACCAGCAGAAAGTAGCGCTCGCGGCCCTGTCCACTGACGCGGGCCGGGCCCCACACGTCCATGTGGAGAGTCTGCAGGGGACCAGTCGTCGGGGGAAACGAGGAGGAGTGAGGAGCGGCGCGCTGCCGTCCCTCGACGCAAGGAAGGCAGGGCGGGGCAGGCAAGGGCGGTAGGGGAGGCAGAGACCTGGGAAGACCAGAGACAAGGAGACGGGAGTGCATGCCACGAAGGCGTGGCAGGGAGGGGTGACCCAGGCGGTGATGCCACAGAAGGGTCTGGTGCGACAGGAGGCGACACGAGCAAGAGGCGTGACCAATACTCGACGCCATCGTCGTAGTCGCCGCCCGGAGCACCTTCGGGAAACACATCCTCAGCAGTGCCGGCCTCGGTGCCACCCTCGGTGCCACCCTTGCCGCCATTGTCGTGCGCAGTGTGCCACTCTTCCTCGGCGTCAGCCGCCTCGTCGTCTGCGCCGACGGCAGATTCGTCCCAAGTGCAGACGTCGGGTTGTCCCCATCGTGGTACTGGGGCCGGAGCTTCTACGTACTCATCTGGAGGCTTGTCGCAGTCCGGTTCCGCGAGGTACTCGTCGAACGTCGATGGGAGAAGGAGCGTGAGCACGGGCTGATTGTCCGTAACCACAGGAGGCACGAGATACACAGGAGATGGAGGAACGGGAGGAGCAGGAGGCGTAGGAGGCGCAGGAGGAATTGGCGGCGCAGGAGGCGCAGGAGGTTGTGGTGGCTCTGGTGAGATACAGGAATACCACCCGTCAGCGTCAACTCTAAACGCGGGCCTAGCGGTAGGCTTTTTCTTGAACAAGAAATGAGTGTCAGAGAATTCCGCCATGGCTTTCGTAGCCTGGCGGGAGAGAACTGGAAACTTATTGAAAAAGTGGATGAAAGAGTGAAGAAATGAAGGATTGAAGGGGACCCCTTCGGCTTAGCGCCTCGGGGTCCTCGTCAATGAACGAGAGGTACCCCCCTGCCTGAACCCGCAGAGGAGGGTTCATGGCACCATCCATGCTGCGCTGGCAAGGCATATTCTACCCCGTTCTAGAGGGTTCGGTTGAAATGCTCCTGCCTGGCAGCGCATGACGACCTGATTGGGCCGCACGGCAGGTTTCACGTCAGCGCTGGCAGGTGTGTTGCTCCGGGACAGGTTTTGTGCAGTGGGAAATCGAATCGCGGCAAGTTTCGCCGGGATTCCATGCACAATCCCATGCGCACGTCACATATTTGTAGTCGCCTTAATGAGAGCTTCAATTTAGTACCTCTATTTGAAATTCATTTTTGCCTTAATAAAAGCGTCGGCCCTTATGGCCGTTACTCAATTACAAGCGCCACCCCTAAAAAAAAGTTTTTATTATAAGCGCATATGCGCTACCGTACTATCCGGGGCAATACGGTAAGTTAGCTCGGGAGTAGTTTTGCGTCCAATTTCAATCTAACACGCTTGGTGTGTCTGATTTCAAGTATGGCACTAAGACAGCATCATAATTCATGTTTTGCCCCTTTTAAAATTTGACGTTCATGTTCATACAAATGCAATAAAATGGTACGATATATAGCAAAGCTGGGTGGGTCCTTCAAATATTTATACCAAAATAAAAGACCCTACTCCACATACGATCTCTTACCGACGGGTCCTTTGTGCGGGATTGCGGTTTGTTTGATTGAATTGAAGCCTCATTTGCTACGACGAGTTTACAACACTCTCTTGCAGTTCTTTCTCCATGTAGTGTACATGCATAGCGGCAGCAACGAACCTTGCAGTGCTTAGTACAGCATGTGGAGCCAGGAGAGGAAAAAACAAGGTTCTTAGCGTCAATGGTCAGTACGGGGGGAGTAGAATCCAGATCCACTCCATTAGCAGGGCATGCCTGTTGTTGCTGCTTTATAGGGTGTGATGTGGAGTCAGGGAGTTGCCTAAAAATTCATGTCAGACATTTGAAGGCGCATCAGAGATTTCGAGGTGTACGGTCACGGTGCAGAGCTGGGGGAATGTCCATGCCAGCAGTATGTGCATGGCTGCCTGCACCCACTGCAGCACGTTTCCCTAGGGAAGCGGATCGGGCAGGCGCTTGGGAAGGTCGTTTGAGGCGCCTCACAACACGCGGGCCGGGTGCAGAGCTGGGGAAATGTCAATGGCAGCAGTCTGCATGGCTGCCTGCACCCACTGCGGAACGCCCCCCCGCGGGAACTGGGGGACATGGGGATGGGGGGATGTGGGAAAGGGGACAGGGGGATGGAGGGAAGGGGAGAGGCAAGGATGTGAGGTGGGGAATAGAGAGATGTGGGGATGTGAGGAAACACGAGGGCAGAGGGATGATGTACGTGTGCGTTCGTGCGTGTGTGTGCATGCGTGCGTGTGTGCGTGTGTGTGTGTGTGTGTGTGGAGCGTCGACCTAGAGAGAGGGGTGAGTTGGGGGGAAGGTTCAAAAAGCGGAGAGGGAAAGTGGGCGAAAGGGCACACCTGTTTTTGGAGAAAATCGACCACAAAGCTGCAGGGAGCAGGGGAGCAGGGAGGAGGGGAGCAGGGAGGAGGGGAGCAGGGAGGAGGGGAGCAGGGAGGAGGGGAGCGCATGAGTACAGGGCACACAGGGATGCAATGCAATTCTTGGATCATGAGAGAGAGACATGAGGGGTTACGAGGGATTCTGAGGGATTACAAGGGATGTAAACGGTGTGGCAGGTGAAGAGAGGGAGGCAGGCATACCTGGGGAAGGTGTTATTGAGAATGGCGTCATGCATTGACTTTGAAAGCTGCATTGCCAGGGAGGAGAGGAGGGCATGGGGAGCAGAGAGAAGCCCATTTCACGAGTGCGCAGGGTGGATATGTGGGCGAGGAAGTGGCAGTCACACTGCCACTCAAAAGGCAATCGCTCTTTTGACATAATTCTCACACAGTCTGCTGCTCGCCCCCAGTCCCACCACTCTCGCCCCACCTGCATCTCCACTCACAATCCCCCAAACCCCCCTCGCCTGCATCATGCAGGCGATGTTGTGGATGGTGAGAAGGTGGTGGGATTTGTGTGACTCAAGAGTCATCTTCCTATCATCCCCACCAAATATAACCTCCCCAACCACCCTCCTTGCACCTGCATCATGTAGGCGATGTTGTGGATGGTGAGCGGGTGTGGGCTTTTGCGCAGCACATGAGTCATCTTCCCCGCAACCCCACCCACCCATTAACCCCCCCCTCCGCTCCCTCCTCCCCCCACCTGCATCATGTAGGCGATGTTGAGGATGGTGAGCAGGTGGTGGGATCTGAGCGACTCAAGAGTCATTTCCCCCCCAATCCGCCCCCCACCTGCATCATGTAGGCGATGTTGTGGATGGTGAGCAGGTGTGTGCTTTTAAGCGAGTAGAATCATCTTCCCCCAACCCCATACCCAACCCCAAACCCATCCCCTCCCATAACCACCCTCCCACCCCACCTGCATCATGTAGGCGATGTTGTGGATGGTGAGCAGGTGGCAGCCCACGGGGTCCTTGGTCACCAGCGAGTGCAGATAGGCCCGTGAGAAGCTGCGGCATGCCTGGAGGGGTGCAGAGGGATGAAGTGGGGTGCAGAGGGGTGTGGGGGATGCAGTCAGGAGTGGATGCGGTGGGTGGAAGGTTGAACGTGAGGCGCCTCAAGTGAGGAGGTGGCAGCCCACGGGGTCCTTGGTCACCAGCGAGTGCAGGTAGGCTCGTGAGAAGCTGCGGCATGCCTGGTGGGGTGCAGAGGGATGTGGCGTGGTGCAGAGGGATGTGGTGTGGGGGACGAGAGGAGAAGAGTGCGGATTCACAGGAGGAGAGCAGCAGGCAGCAAGGCAAACCCAGCCGGCAGGGCAGTAGGGGACGCACCAGGCAGGAGCAGGAGGGGTCGATGGGGCGGTGGTCATTCGCCATGGCTGCATGCTTGAGCTTCAACACGCCCTCTGGTATCAGAGCCGTGCCGAAACGGGCCGTGCGCGTGGGGTAGACACAGTCGTACATGTCTGCTCCCAGGGCTGAACACACCACTATGTCCAATGGGTACCCCACTCCCTGCAATGCCACGCACACACGCACACACGCACACATAGGTGATTTTTGAGTTGACTAAGAAACGAGACACAGTTTTACATGTCTGCTCCGAGGGCGGAGCACACCACTATGTCCAATGGGTACCCCACTCCCTGTGATGTTTGGAGGGGAAAGGGGGAGGGTCGCAGGTATGTCTGATACACAACATGCCATGCCATTCCATCACATTCCATGCCATCCCATGCCATGCCGTACTGTACCATAACGTATCGTGGCTTGTTGGCCGGCAGAGCTGCCGTGCACTGCGCCACTACACGCCAAAATGACTCCTTGTCCTCGCCGCCCGCCAACCCACCAATAGCGTACCTGGAAATGATCAATGGAGAAAGTATAATGGGTGGGATGAGATGGTGGTGCGGATGAAGCAGATGCTGTGAGAGGCAATGGGACAGAGCTGCAATTCTGAATCTTATAGAGCAACGTAGGCTGAAGCCACGAGCCAATACAGCATCATCTGTCCAAACAGAATGACAGTAGCGGTGGTGACACTGCTGTGAACCAATCGGGACTCAGCTATCACACTGACGTACCCGGGTAGGTCTCTGTCAATGAGCCCCTTCAGACAGATGTCCCTGCATGCATCAAGGGGGGGGAGAGAAAGTGGAGGGAGCAGGGAGCAGACAATGGAGAGAGGAAGATGGTAGAGGCAGCAGCAGGGAGCAGACAATGGAGAGAGGAAGATGGTAGAGGCAGCAGCAGGGAGCAGACAATGGAGAGAGGAAGATGGTAGAGGCAGCAGCAGGGAGCAGACAATGGAGAGAGGAAGATGGTAGAGGCAGCAGCAGGGAGCAGACAATGGAGAGAGGAAGATGGTAGAGGCAGCAGCAGGGAGCAGACAATGGAGAGAGGAAGATGGTAGAGGCAGCAGCAGGGAGCAGGAAGAGGGGTTGCAGGAGATGGAAGTGTGGTTAAGTCGATTCCGAAATCTCCCCAAAACTGAATCTCATATTTCTGGTGGAGAAAGCGAAGCGAGAGAGGAAAGAGGAGAGAAGGTGATGAAGATGTGCTGTGCTGACAACAGTACTGCCTATGTCAGACTGTCAGAGGCCTTTCAGTTTGCCTTCACAAGAATTCACTCACCCGAACCTGCTAATTTAATCTATTGAGCTGTTTCCACCTGAGCAGCAACCACCTGAGTTTTCACCTGAGCTTGGGGTCCAGCCCGCCCTGCACGATCCCAAAGAGGTTCTGATCGTGCGGCCGGCTGTGGGCTGAGGGGAGAGAGGGGAGGGAGGGAAGGCACAGCAGCATGCAGGAGACTGGAAGGCTGGGTCGCTGGGAGGCTGGGAGAAAGAGGAGCGGGTGGGGCGCTGTGGAGAGCAAGCAGTGGAAAAATGACGAGCTGAACCTCACTGCTTGCTCTCAGTGACACTGGGAGGAATCCCAGTGTCATGTGATGGCTTGTGATGTGAATGCTTACTTGGAGCCTCATACCCCACGAGCCTTACAACCAGTGGCTTTTCTCAATTGGTACCCGCATAGTCACTACATTTAGTTCACCCATGATACACATCTACGTCCACCTCACCCTGCATGCATCGGCCCATCCCCCTCACCCTGCCTGCACCCCTCACTCCACCTCACCCTGCATGCATCGGTCCATCCACCTCAGCGTGCGATGTGTCGCCTCCTCAATGCGCGGGCCTGACACCAGGCTGCTTACCACGTCATCCAGAGCCATGATGATGTCAGCACCGATCTTGTTCTGCGCTCCTTCCAGGAAACAGCCCATGAGTCAGTCACACAAGAGAAAACGCATGGCGGAGGGCTTTTAAGGGGTGTGATTTGTTGAAATGAACGGTGGGTAATGGAGGTAATTCAAAGCCAAACACACATGGTCGTTCATTAAAAAAGACCTAGCAGATCATGTTCTTAAGAAATCGTCTTCTAGTGACTAATAGATATCATCAAACATTCTACTTGAGATTTCTATCAACCACACATCGGAGTATATAAAACAACAAGATTTAAGACCTTGTGTGCGGGATTTATGGCTAGCGGGTTTAGGGAGCTAAGTCGACTATGAATATGAATATGAAACGCCCACGGCCAAACGCCAACGCCCAACGCCCACGCCCAACGTCCAACACCGCGGTGGAGTGTGGTGGAGTGCGGTGAGGGTTCGTGTGGGAGGCACCTGAATGGCGATGGACTCCTCTGGGGTGAGCAGCATGCGCGTGCCGTCCACAGGCGACTGGAACTCCACCCCCTGCTCTGTGATGTCCGCCAGGTGCAGCAAAGACACCTGCCACGGTGCACAGCGGTGGAGAGGAGTGCAGGGCGGTGGAGGCCGGTGTGCGGCAAAGCACGCAGTGAGGTGGCGGCGGCAAGCAGCAGCAAGAGCACCCGGTGTGGGCAGGGCATGGCATGGCATGCAACAGCGCTGGAGCAGAGGCATGTGGCTGCCGTTTGAGCATTGTGTGCATTCCCCATGCCTATATTCCCTTCCCCGTGTCTACATTCAACCCCTCCCACCTTCTGCAAGCGAGGCAAGCACAATCTGGAACCCCCTCTCACCATCTTAAAGCCCCACCCCCCTCACCATCTTAAAGCCCGCTCTCTCACCATCTGGAACCCCCCCGAGTCAGTGAGCAGGCTGTGGGGCCAGTCCATGAACGCATGCAGCCCACCCGCATCATCTTAAAAACCCCATCCCCCTCACCATCTTAAAGCCCCACCCCCCTCACCATCTTAAAGCCCCACCCCCCTCACCATTTGAAACCCCCCCGAGTCGGTGAGCAATCCGCGCGGCCAGTCCATGAAGGCATGCAGCCCGCCCGCGCCATCCATCTTAAAGCCCCATCCCCCTCGCCATCTTAAGCCCCTTCTCACCATCTTAAAGCCCCACCCCCCTCACCATCTTAAAGCCCCATCCCCCTCACCATCTTAAAGCCCCACCCCCCTCACCATCTGGAACCCCCCCGAGTCGGTGAGCAATCCGCGCGGCCAGTCCATGAACGCATGCAGCCCGCCCGCCTCAGCGATGACGTCAGCGCCGGGGCGGTTGGCGAGGTGGTAGGTGTTCCCCAGCACCACCTGGCAGCCCAGCTCTCCCAGCTGCTGCGCTGTCAGCCCCTTGATGGTCCCTGTTGTGGTCCCGAGAGGGGAGCAAAAGGAAGAACAGAAAGGGGTTGGCGAGGTGGTATGTGTTCCCCCCAGCACCACCTGGCAGCCCAACTCGCCGAGCTGCTGCGCTGTCAGCTCCTTTATCGTGCCTGCCTCGGGAGAATGCGGAGAGGACAGGGGAAGGAAGGCTGTGGGGTGAATTACTTGAGTGGGACTGTCAGCGCCAGACTAGTTGGCGAGGTGGTGGTGGGGGGGGGCTGTAAAAGCACCACCTGGCACCCCAGCTCGTGCAGCTGCTGCACCACCTAACCCCCTTCAACCCCTCTCAAACCCTCTCAACCACTCTCAGCACCCAACAACCATGGCGGGAACCCACCTTGGTTGCCCGCGGGCATGAACATGGGCGTGAGGCAGCTGCAGCACCATTCTCGCTACATGCTTTCTAAGCCCCTCTCAGCCCATCTAAGCCCCAAATCAATCCCTCTCAGAACCTGTCAACCACTCTCAACATCCGTCAACCATGGCAGGACCCACCTTGCGTGCCCACGGGCATGAACATAGGCGTGAGGCAGCTGTGGTGCGGCAGCGTCATTCGCGCCGCTCGCGCCCGCCCGTGGGTCGCCAGTACCTACCGCCGCGGGCGGAGGTAGGGAGGGCGGTGGAGGGGCGGGGGAGGGGTGCGACGGGGGGAGGGAGGCACGGGGGAAGGGAGGGGCGGACGCGGGGGAGCTTAAAGGCGCAAGAGCTTCGCGCGCGTGGCATCTAGCGGTTGTGGGAAGAACCAACAGGGGTAAAAGGGGCGGGCGGGGAACGGGACAACCGGCGGAAAGTATGCATTCAGTTCAGTAGAAGAATGCGCACCTCGAATTCTAGCGCCATGCTGCTGCTGCCGGCGTCTCCGCCGCCGCCACTGCTACTGCTGCCGTAGCGGCTGTTGCTTATACTGGCGTCGCTGCGGGCGACGGCATTCAGCCGCTTTGCTGCACCATGCGCTGTGAACTGGCCGTGTAGGCCTCGCCGTAAGGAATGGTACCGGCAATGGCGGCGGTGTGGCGGCGACAGACGAGGTGTCGCGACGGGCGACAAGACGAGACGGAGTGACCAGCGGACACTCGCAAGCTGCGACATTTACGATCACAACGTAAATCCTCCTGGACTAGTCAAAAAGACTTTAAAATTAAATCTATTACTTCTAAGTATTCCAAGTTCTCAGCCGCCCTAGCTCAGTTGGTAGAGCGCAAGGCTCTTAACCTTGTGGTCGTGGGTTCGAGCCCCACGGGCGGCGTTATTACCTTCGTTTACACGTTTTGATTTTCCTGCCTTTTGTCGTGAGTATATGTGATGGTTGAGTGTAACGCGGATGTGAACACGAAGCCTCAAGGCTTTGACGTGGAGCATCTTCGTTGGTCAAGATATTCTCGCACGTTCCATTTACTTTGCCCCCTCCCCAATTGCGCACCAATCGCTGTCGCCATCGCAGGGGCAAGCAGAGCCGCGTGCGAGCCGGGATTCGGGAAATCGCACACGGTGGAACATCGAAGCGCAACAAACCAAACAGAAATTGCGCCCCTTTCACAACGCAACTGGTCAAACCCATCCCACGTTTCTCATTCCTTCCTATTTTCCACATCTCCAGCGCATTTTCCACCTCGCTTGAACGAGGAGCTCTACTGCTGCTGCTGCTGAGCAGGGCTGTGCCGTCACTTGATAGTCGCATCCGAAGCGCGCCAGTCGTGATCCGCTGACAAAGTCAGCAAGGGTATGCTGAGTTGCGTCCCGTCCCGTGGCGAGCCGAGTAGCCAAGTCTCTTTCTGCCATGGCCACTCCACCGACAACGCCAGAACCCCGCTACACCGTGCCCTCCTTCAGTTGTTTACCGCCATATCCACCCTCGCTTCAGTCCCACGTGATACGATGTTAGCTCCATTCGCTAGTGTGAAGCAGCGCTCCTAAGAACCGCAACGCGAGAATGGACCAGAGCATACAATGTGCGGCGCGGCAGAAACGCGTTTCAGCAATACGATCTTATTAATCGGCTAACACAGCTACTAGGCACGCCACTCCAGCATTGCGTGCAAGTGTAATCAACAATCTTACTAGCGCCTGGTAAACTTGAGATAAGTAATCACAAAAGTTCTGACTATCTCTAGCGGAGGTTTCCACTACCTCCATCTACAGCCTCTGCGTGAGCTGCGTTGTAGAACCGTCCATACACCCGCCGATCTGCGCGAGTCGCGGGAATGAACTCTGCCGCGCTGCTGCTTCTCCCGCTCCTCACCCGCCTCCTTCCGCGCCAGCTCGGCGCGCTTCACGCCGAAGGGACCTCGAGCGCCCTCGTGCCCTCTCCTGATTGGCGGGCGGTCGCAGGAAATGGGGGAAGGGCTGTGGGGGAGCAAGGAGAAGCAACACGGGGGGAGGGCGGGGTTGAAGTCCGGGGAGAAATGAGACAGTTGGGGGAAGACCGCCAAGGGGGGAAAGTGGCAGCGCCGCACCGGTTGCTGGCGGTGAATGGCGGGAGTAATCAAAGTGGCGCTGGGAAGCGGGGGAGGGGGAGGGAAACGGCGGCCACGGTAGCGGAAAGGCAAGGGGCGAGAGGGGCGAGGGGAGTAAAAGGAAGAATAGGATCTACACCGTCGGGAGCATCCCCGCCGCGCAACCACGCTGTAGGTCACGCCAAGGGGAAAGTGCACAAGGGGTTGAAGAGGCACGGGAGGGGCGCAAGGAGCGGAGCTAGTCAGGCTGCTGGAGGGGGAGGCGTGCGAACGGGAAAGATTCTGAGCAGTCGGGCGCAGCACTCTCAGAGAAGGCCAGCTACGGTGCAACGAAAAGGAGGACGACGTCAGAAAGGGGCGAAGAAAAGTCCGAAGAGGCGGGCCCCGAAGGGGGTTGTGAGTCAGCAGTACAACGCAACGCAGAAGCCAAGCAGAGGGGGACAGCGCAGGACAGGGGCGCAAGGCGGAGGCAAGGCGGCGAAACGCCCTGGCGGCGGCCGTGGAGAGGAGCAGTTGCCGGAAGCACAGCTCGTGCGCGGGCGGACAGGGACAACAGGGGGGGGAGGAAGGAGGGGAGGCGGAAGAGGACATACCAAACGCGGCGTGGGGTCGGTGGAGCTGCCCACACCCTATGGCTATGTTCCCACTTGAAGCTGACATGCTTTTGGTCCCTACTAACTGCCTAACAACTGGAACTAGCTGGGGGAACGCCATGTAGTCAGGTTCTATGCAGCTCAATCTTGGTAACTCCTGAGGTGTAGGGCTCTTGCTGTTTTCCATACCACAATCTGTCAGTGGAATGTAAATGACCTAACATGATTGCATCATTTCTCTGCAACCCTAAACCCTAAACCCTAAACCCTAAACCTTTGCAAAACATAACCACATGGGCTGAAAGAACTAGACTAGCAGGGGTGAACTAGCACGTGACCACCAGAGAGAGCTCCAGGCCAACTTGACGGAGAACCCCAACTGAGGCAAGGCAGGGCAGGGGCATACACAAGCATCTCGCTAAACTAGCTTGAATGCTGCTACCAGTAATGCCAAGCCAATGGAGGGGCAGCTTTGCCTAGCTCGCAAGACCGCTCCTAAGAGCGGGCAGCGGAGGGTGCTCGAGAGGACGTGGGGGGCGAGGAGAGGGCGGCAACAGCCGAGGCAACGGTGGGCAATTGGGAGGTGAGGAAGGGGAAGGAGGGCAGCGTGGGGTCGGTGAGGGGCGTGACTGACGGGGAGAGCCATGGCATGACTGCCGAGGCAAATGTTTCAAAGCGCGATGAGAGAATGGCCTCCCAGTCAGCCTGCAGGGGTGACGGAGGGGGGAGAGGTAAGCGGAAGAAGGGTGGGGGAGGGAGGGAGGTTGAAGTAACAGGGGAATGGGAGGGGTGAGAAACGGTTTTGTGACAACGGACGAGTATACAAGAGGCAGGACAAAACTGGTACTGTTGTGCATGCCTTTAGGCAGACTGTAACCGTCAACGACACATGCAGGAGTAGCTCCACCTCTCACCCCTTCAAAATACATCCAAAACACCTGTTCCTACCCACAAACAGGCCCACACACAGTGAAACCAGAACAAATGGAATTGCCGAAGTGGAAGAACAGGCACAGCCCACGGACCTGAAGTTTGGGTGGGATGGTGGCGGTGACCTGCAGCTGAGCTGCGAGGAAGAGAGCCAGCGTCACCACATACCCCACCATGGCCGTTCCACGTGCCAGTGGCATGAAGTTGTACCTGCAGTGGTGCAGAGCGGTGCAAGAGTGGTGCAGAGTGGTGCAGAGTGGTGCAGAGTGGTGCAGAGTGGTGCAGAGTGGTGTTTTTAAAGCATTCTTACAGCTGCAGAGGCAGGCAGCTGAATGCAGCCTGCAGAATCAATCAGCAATCCGGCACGACACAGACTACAGGCTAGTGACAGTGCGCAACGCACTGCAGGCTTCACGGACTGCTATTGCAGGCACCAATGATGAAACAAAAACGTCAACACAAGCAACGGGAGCTTAGAGTGGAAGGCACCGAGTTGAAGGCTCAGAGATTCTAGCATAGGTTTTGACGTTTAGGGTTTGGGGGGGGGTGGGTACCAGTAATAGGCGAGGCGCAGCACGGCTCGTTGGAAGCGCGCCATAGAGGGGCCCAGAGGCGGCCTCCATGCCCCGCCCTGCATCTTCTCTCCCACCACTGCGCACAAATCCTGGGTTGGCCGGGGTGGGAAATGGGGAGGAGAGGACAGAGAGAGCACAGGAGGAGGAGGAGGGCAGGGCTAAAATAGAAGAAGCTTGCTTCTCACTGCTCCCCTTTCAGCAGCATTTCTGCCAGCATGAGTCTGACAGGAAACAACTGCAGAGTGTAACAAAACCTTCAGCAGGGTACGATGAGGAGGGGAATCACAGATGCCGCACACTGGCACATGCATCTGCGCCACACGCTGCTTGCTGTCAGAAGCACAGTTCCTGCCACGTCCACAGCAATCACACCATTCCTCCCTCGCCAACACCCCACCCCACCCCACCCCAACCCAACCCACCCCACGCCACCCCACGCACCTCCCATGCAGCTGTCATCTCTGCATCGTAGTCCGCCCAGCGTGAGGGCGTGCCGGGCGTGCGGATGGCAAAGTCAAACCCTGTGGGACTGCGGACAAGTGCAGAGAGAGGGCGCATGAGAGAAACAGCATGGGAACGGGGAGGTGCGTAAGGGGAAAATGGAAGGCAGTGCTATTAAGAAAGGGACATGAAAAGAAGAAGGCTAAGGAGGACAGTGTGAGTATGTTAGGGTGATTAATGGGAAACGAGAAGAGGACGATGGAACCGAGATAGCAGAAGGGGTTGAGAGAGCAAAGGGGGTTGATAGAGCAAAGGGGGTTGAGAGAGCACAGGGGGTTGAGAGAGCACAGGGGACTGAGAAAGCGAAGGGCGAGAGCAAAGGGGGTTGAGAGAGCAAAGGGGGTTGAGAGAGCACAGGGGACTGAGAGAGCAAAGGGGGTTGAGAGAGCACAGGGGACTGAGAGAGTAATAGGCCGGGCCGCTTACGTCTTCACAAGGGTGAGTCGTGTACCCTCGAGAACCTTCCTGAAAGGGTGGAGAATGCAGCAAGTGACACATGGAGGCAACACCAGGAACGGACAAAGGTGGTTTGAGCAGTGGAAGCAGGAAGTGGAAGGAGGAGACGGTGCGACCTCACTGCGGCAAGGCAGCCTTACGACACGGATGGCAGGCATATTGCACTGAAAACACTAAATTAAGCTGTAGCGGCCACTCACCCTGGGTCCACCATGCTGTAGCAGGGTGTGACGATCCAGAAGTCCTCCCCCACCACCCGGTACAGATCCTCACATGCCTTTGCTGTTGCCACCTGCCACAGCGGAGGGGAGGGTGCCACACAGAGGGTGGAGGAGAGGGTGGGTGAGTGGGGGAAGGGGAACACGAGAGTGACGAGGGGGGAGTAGAAAACCCTTCGCATTATCTATTCAGGGGCTGCAAATGATTCTCAAACATAAGGAGACATGGGGTTGACAAACGATGGAAACAAGTTCTGATTGAGAAAAATCGAACAGGGACGGGGGTGGGAAGTGGAGGACTGAAAGTAGAGGGGCTGTGAGAGGGAGCAGGACTGACAGCTGCTTTCTGTGCAGGGTCATCAACGGCCACTCGGTTGTTGGCAGCGTTATGCACCGCACCCGACCGCAGCATCTCCTCCTTCATTATCGCAAACGCCCTGCACGCACACCATGCACCCCACTCCACACACAGGCACACACACAGTCCTAAGGCACCTCAGAGCCTTTCACCATAGCATTGCGATGCACGCGGTTGAGTCAGAGAAAGAAAATGCCAGGGATTCTGCTAAATCGAATGATACAGACACAAGCAGTGCGGAGAGCCTTGCTCAGTGAAGGGACGCGGTGAGAGAAGCGGCTCAACAGGGTGTAGAGTTCGCAAAAAAAAAAAAAAAAAAAAAAGGTCGGCTTCAGTTGACTGGGGTGGATGGACTCAACGTAAGCAGTATTCACTGCATGACGGCAAGCGAGGTGAGTTGCAAATAGCAAGGTGGCAAGGTGGCAAGGACTGTATGTGGCGAGAGGGAGCCTACCGGTCGAAGTTAGCATGGTAGCGCTTGACCTTGGTCTGACCAATGAGAATGGGCGTGTGCGACCCTTGAGGCAACTCAAAAAGGTATGAGGTGAGGGGGAGCGCAGCGAGGGGGAGCGCAGTGAGGGGGAGCGCAGTGAGGGGGTGCTTACCGGTCGAAGTTAGCATGGTAGCGCACCACTTTGGTCTGCCCGATGAGAATGGGCGTGTGCGACCCAAAGCCGGCTCTAAACTCCTTCTCCCTGCGACACAAGGGACGCGAGGGAGGATGCACGTGATGGGAGTGGTCACTGATACCATTACAGCAGTCATATACAGCATTTGAAGCGACCATGGTACACCCCCACCCTCCTTGCTAGCTACAGTCATGAGAGCAGCATGCAAGCCCACCCAGACGTGTCCCAAACTCGGATCCACAAGCGGTTGCATCATGCATGGTGCAGCTGCCAGCACTTGGACCACTCACGTGAGCATGTCCACCCACACAGCCGGGTCACACGGCTCTGACAGCTGCCTCCAGCGCACAGCAATGGAATATGCATCTCTCCACCCCTTTATTTGCACTCCCTTTGTTGTCACACCCCCCTTCCCTTGCCCTGCGCCTGAGCCTGCCCCAACCCCTGCTGCGCTTGGAGAGACACCTTTCCCTCCGCTTCCACCTCCTCCCTTCCCCCGCCCTCCTCCCTTTCCGCCCTTGCTCTTCCCTCCTTTTCCCCCACCACTTTTCCCTCCCTTCCTCCTCTCCTCCTGACTTCTGCTTCCGCCTGCCACTGCCTCGCTTCCACTGCTGCTACCCCCATCATCCATCAGAGAATCGTCCAAATGAAGTGATGACACGTCATCAGAAGATGGCACGGGAGACAATGACATGTCAGCAGATGATGACTTGGAGAAAGACGACATGTCAGCACCTCCATCCTCCAGCTCAGCAAGAACGGCGGCTGCCGCAGCTGAAGCAGGAGATGTGCCACCAGCGGCAGCAGCGGCGGCAGCTGTAGCAGCAGCAGCCTCCTCCTCGCGCTGTTCCCAGGCGGCTGCTACAGCCTGGGCGATTTCTATGGCAGCAAGGCCCGCCATGCGATACTGGCAGGGAACATGCATCATGGGTGGACATGGCAACGCGAGGGTCAAAGAAGGCAGGCATGAAGGTATGGGAGGAGAGGGGGGTGGGGGGGATGGGGGGGAGCAGATGTGCGTGCCTATGTATAGTTGCTGCTCCAGCAGACAGGCATCACAGGATATACAGGATAAAACTATGCGATATCTTCGTGTGGAGGCATATTCATTTTACCGAATGGTTCAAGAGGCACTTCTGAGTCGCACCTGGCGGACGTTGGCATGGAAGCCAGGGCAGGAATACTGCGTGAGCCGGCCTATCCGATCTGCCAGCTCCAGCAGCCTCTGCACCTCGGGATTGCCACTGCTCTTGCCGCCCCCACCACCACCACCGCCTCCACTGCCGCCGCTGCCACCGCTGCTGCTGCCCCCTGCAGCAGACGAGGCTTTCTTGCCCAGACGCACGGCGATGGAGGGTGGGACTGGCTGGGTGGTGTAGCCTGGGAAGAGCAGCGTGGGGGGGAGCTTCTTGCACCACGCTTCCTGTGAATCAGAAGAAATAGTCGCAGGGAGGGGCCAAGGAAAGAGAATCAACAGACAGAATTCCCTGGACAGACGCAGAACAGGGTGGGCAAAGGTAACAGGTATCGTGTTTCTCTCGGGAAACAAAGAACATATGCAAGATGAGCACTGTGCCGCCGACTATGGAAGTGGTAACACAGATGGAGGTCCAGTGGGTGAGCGTGGCCTGACCTTGTAAGAAGGGGTCGAGGTCCCTGTCAAGGCTGAAGTGGACGAGCGGCTGCGAGTGCTTGGAGAGCGTGTAGAGGGCGATCTCGCGCTGGTAGAAGCCGAGGAACTGCAGCAGCTTGGACTCGGAGTCTGTCTCCACGCCCAGCATCTCATCGTATGTGCGCACCTGGTGGAGGCGAAGGGGGTTGGGAAGAGGGGAGGGATGGGGGAAGGGGGAACGGAACAGGGGAAGGGGGAGGGGGATGAGGGAAGAGGGGAGGGGAAAAAGGGAATGAGGAAGGGAGAAGGGGAAAGGGGGACGAATGGTGAAGCAGAAGACATTTCAGCGAGCAATAAGCTGGAAAGGATTTCACTCCATGAGCTGGTACCAAAAGACAGGGCGTGTGCATCGACCTTGGTTTGATGTGTACTGCATGCAATGAAGTGTCACAATTCCACATGCTCTTGACCTCGCGGCACTGACTGTTCCTCCAAGATCACACAGTCACCGCCCTTGCGTGTTGCCCCACGTGACATGACACACTCGCTGCGCTTGCATATTCCCCACACAAATGACCCACTCACGGCAGTATGCTGTATTCCCCCACAGCATGCTCGGAGGAGGCGTAGGAGTACATGAGCTCGATGTTGCTCCTCTCTAGCCTCAGCCCCTTCTGCGCCATCTGTGACGCGCCTCTGGTGCCGCAGGGGGGGGGAAGGGGGGAACAGCAGCTTATGAGGCGCCTCAAAAGTCAACTCCAGCCTCAGCCCCTTCTGCGCCACCTGTGACGCGCCCCTGGTGGTGCCACAGGGAGGGGGAACAGCAGCACGAGACGCACGGAAAGGAGGTGGACGTTGTGTGAGGAGGGGTGAAGAGGTGGGCTGAGAGAGGTGGGAGGCGAGAGAGTGAGCGAGGGAGGAGGTGGGTCAGATTTGTTGCTCTGCATAACTGTAGCGCTTACATATACATGCAGTTACCTTGCACACTTGATATTGAGGTGCCCCTTTAATGACATGGACCATACGAGAGGACAGGGGGGGGAGGGAGGAGGGCGGGGGGAGGAGGAGGGAGGGAGCGGGAAGAGAAGTAAGGACAGGGGGAGGATGGGGAGGACGAAGGAAGGAGGGGGGTAGGAGGGAGGGAGGGGGAGGGGGAGGAGGGGGGAGGATGGGGGGAGGAAGGGGGGTGGAGGGGGGATAGGGGGAGAAGGGGGGGGGGGGAGAGGGGTTGAGAAGGGGGAAAAGGGAAAAAAGGGGGGAAAGGGGGGAAAGGGGGGAAAGAAGGCATGTGGCGCTGACCTGTGGTCGCCGACGCCATGCTTGAGCAGCGCCCAGTAGCGGTACACCGTGGCAAAGCTGCAACAGGAAGAGTGGGAGGGGGGAGACCGGAAGAGTGGGAGGGGGAAGATGACAGGAGAAGCTGTAAGGCAAGCAGGAGGAGTGCATGAGGGTAATAAACACAGCCAGGGGGCATGGAGAGGCGGGCACGCAACACCGTTGCTGCTACCAGTGCTACCAGTGCCCATCAAATCAAACAGCCATGTGATATAGAACGCCAAAGAAAAACTCCGTAACCATTTGGGCTACATAACTGAGTTTTTCCATGCTTGCATTTCCACCACGCCTTTGCTTGGACAGCAAAGCAGCTCACCTCGAATCCACGTCCAACACCTTCTGATAGCACTTGGCTGCGTTCTCTGCATCGCCGTACTCCTTATAAGCCTGCCCCATGTTAACCCACGCATCCTTGAAGTCTGGGCGCAGGGCCACAGCCTTCTTGTATGCTGCAACGCCCTCCATGCACGCCCCTGTGCCTGTCAGCGCCAGACCCTGCAGGAGAGATGACAGACAAAGACGGGGAGGCATGGCATGGAGTGAGAAACAGCAGCAAGATGCTGGGATGGTGCGGCCTGTCGTGGTGAGAGTTACAGCCCTCCTGCGTCATAGCAGGACGTGAGAACGTGGCACGAATGGCAGCTGTACCATTATTCAGTGGTGGTTACTGCCAGTAAGAGACGCCTCACCAGGAAGTTATACGCATTGGCATCCTTGGGATTGGAATCCAGAGTGGTCTTCAAATCCGAAATGGCTGCACAGTAGTTGCGCTGCTTCACATACACCACTCCTGCACGCACCGCACCCACACAGCACAGCAGCACACAGACAGGCCACAGCAGCACCAACACAGCAACATGCAAATTAGAAAATTGCACTTCTGTTAAGACAGTTGTATCAAGCAAATGACCCCATCCCTTCTGCACAGCCAGCCACTTACCCCTCTCAGCTAGCACATCCGTAGACGAGGGGTCGATGGTAAACACTCGAGTGAAATCCTCAATTACCTGAACGTGCAGCAAGGAAGGAGCACAGAAATACATCAGTACGTCAAACGGAGCAGGGTGAGGGGGGAAGGGGGACGGAGAAGGCGAAAAAAAAGAGACATTCGCTCGTTACATATGACTCGGTTCGATTGCCCAGTCCCCAGCTCACCTCGTCCATCTGACCCAGAGCAGCCCGCGCCTGAGCTCGCCGCTTCCACGCCTCTGCTGCTCGCGGCTCAATCTCAATCGCCTGAAACATAGAGCCAAGCAAAGAGAGCACGCACAGTAACGTGCATAAGCTAAACGTCAATTGATAGACAAATGCCGAATGCTCTTCACTGAAGAATCATGCAAGCATGAGCAGCTTACGGCAGTGAAATCAGCCACGGCCTCTTTGAGCTTGCGTTGCAGAGCCCGTGCTGTTCCCCGCCCCACCAGCGCACCCAGCGCCCGCCCGTCTGTCTCCAGAACCTGCATGCAGTACAGAAGGAATGGATGGGTTAAGGAGAAGCGGCATCCACTGTCCAAAGAAAACACTGATCGAACCAATACGAGACAAGGGAACGTGGTTGCGTTGAGATAGCTACCACAACGCAATAAGAGACAAGGGAACGTGGTAGGCTGATAGCTATGCACCTGATTGAAGGTCTTGACAGCATCGTCAAGCTTGCCTGAATTGACCTGCCAATGGAAACAAGAACAAAACCAGTCATGAAAAGAAAAACAAGAATTACCATGCTCGATCAATCTATCACGCAGCGCTCGCATGTTCAGCTTAGAACAGGTTGAATAGGGACAAAGTAACGGAGAAGCGGCGGAATCTCATCTTCTCTTACCTGGTTAATCCCAAGGGAAATCAGCAAATCCAATGCCAGGCTGCCGCGTGCTCCTCCCAACCCCTTCCCTCCGCCACTGCTCCCTTTACCTCTGTCATCTCCTCCGCCACTCCTTTCCCCTCTACTCTCTCCTTCTCGAACCCCCTTCTTCTTCCCCTCTTTCTTCTGCTCCTTGGGTGAAGCACCTCCCCGCGCCTCCCCAGTAGCACCCTCCCCATTACCCAGCTTCCCTTCCTTCTCTTTGACACTGCGTGGCGACGCATCTCCAGATCCCGTCTCTAAAATCACACATCCATTCTGGGCGGCAGAAGAAGCGGCAGGAGAGCGATGTGAGGACGCGGGGGACGGCGTGCGAGGTGGATTCGCAGAAGAGGGAGACGCAGGCAGGGCGTTTGCGGAGGGAGTCTGCCTAGAGGGAGAAGCGAGCTTGGGCGTTGGGGATAGAGGGGAGGACGGGTCGATGGAGAGCGAGTGCAGGCGCAGCGCGAATTCAAGGTCTACGCAGGAGGACGCGGCGAGGGGAGTGGTGGTAGCGCTACTGCCGGTGGTGGTCACGGCTTGGTAGCCTTGGCTGAAGGCTGCCTTGGCTTCGTCCTTCTTGCCCAACGCCAGCCACGCCGCACCTGCATCGCCAGCATGGGAGGAACGAGGAGGGAAACGGTAAATTCAACGTTAAATATCAAACAGAGAGAGAATCGGTAAATTCAGCGAGTACACACGATCAGTTTTCACAACAGCGTTCAATGAGTAATCGGTGAGGCAGGCGACAGTCATGGAGCAGCACGCCGGCCATCTACTCAGATAGGCAGGGAACAGAGGGCCTCGAAACAGAGGAGCGGCGAGCGGGGTGGGAGAGCGGGTCACACCTTGGCGCATGAAGGCAAGAGGCTGGTTGGGAGCGAGTTGCGTGGCCCTCGTGGCGTCCTTGAGCGCGTGCTTGTTGAGATCCAAGTGCAGATAGCACCACGCGCGATTGCTGCACCAACGAGAGGAAACGGAGGGGGGGGGAGCGGGGGGGGGGGGGGGGGGGGGGGGGGGGGGGGAGGAGGGGGGGGGGTTGGGTATACGCGACGAATTGGTATTGAAATTTCTCAGGAAGCCCCTGGTGGCGTCCTTGAGCGCGTGCTTGTTGAGATCCAAGTGCAGATAGCACCACGCGCGATTACTGCACCAAGCAGTTTGAAAACGGAGGGGGAGTAGGCCATACGAGACGATTCCTTCATAATAATTTGCTGTGAAGTGGTAATTTGAGAGAAACCCTTGTTAATGCAGAAATCGCTGACAGACTGAAAGTCAACCATATTTTCGCTAACCAGAACCGATTTGATGGTAATTGAGATAAATAACGATGCCTGAAACGCACCAGAGGAACATCGCGACTTCGGCTGGACTCCTGCTGGCCTCTTCCGCCTCCGTTATTTGCGCCGTCAGCAGCTTAACGGCGCGCGACCACTGTTGCTGAGCGCAAGCCTCGACCACCTCCTGCGCCATTCCGGTGACGACACGTGTGGCAGGAATTGACTAAGCAATGAAACAAAGAAACAAAAACTTAACGAGGCTCAGTCTGTGCAGCAACCCTTGTCGATCTCCAGTCGGCAGAGTTCTCGCAACCGCACTAACTGAAGCCTAACAGTCGTATCGTGGCTACTAGGCCCGGAAAAACAGAACTAGGTACTTTCCTATGTCTAGTCCAAATCCGATCTACGACTAATGATACCAGAATCAGGTACCTTCCTATGTCTAGTCCAAATTGGATCTACGACTACTGATACTAAGTTCACTGAACGGCGGGAAGTTGCTGTCACCTACAACCAGCTTCACAGATCTGCGCTCCGAAGCCTGCTAACATGCAGGCCTGACAATCAACGTCCGTGAATCCCATTCGTTGCGACCGAGTCTGCAAGGATGGAGAGGCATGGGCAGCCGTTGCCTGATGTTGCAAGGATCTCGGGTGTTGACATCTGCTGGCTGACTTTCTGATACCTGCAGCCTGCCTGGCGTGAGTCAAAATCTTGGGAATCTTGTGGAGTTGAACGTGACTTTGGCGAACTGTAAAAAGTTCGCACCCTCGATCCTGCAATCCGTGACGTTCACGAAAACCAGGTAACAAGTGAATGGACCCTTGTTGGGGAATCCGTTCGAGTCGCATGCTGAACAGCGAGTCTCCCCAACAAAAAAGAGATTGGGACCTCAGTGCAAACCTGTACCATGAAAATATGGTCACGTTCTTTTTCCCACCAGGATACTCTAATAACGCGTAGTAAATGTCCTCCAGAAGCCACTCTTGCTCACACACAAAAACTCTCAGCAAGACCAGAGGAAACTTTACTCCATTCCACCTAGCATTGAGGCTTCTGACGATGATAGTCTACGTTATGTCGCAATAGTTACATAATCACCACGTCTCACGTCTTGACGGCCGATTCGAAGTCCAAGTGCATCACATTTCCATGCACCACGTCTGCATAGAATGGCTCTTGCCGTTCGTGCCATTCGTGCGACGTTCGTATGTCTTTCGTTGAATCTGACGCTATGCACGGTCTTCAACGGTCGATACTACACAGCTCCTCCGTTTTCATACCATGCCGTTCCAGTTAATATAGCCGGCGCGAACAAGGGTGGAGGTAGTACAAGAGGTGCGGAGACGGCAGAGCAGACAGCGGGGTTCGTCCTTCCAAGCTCGGCGCGCAGGTGTAATGCAGAGGAACAGACTTCTGCCGCTGCCGGGCTCCTCTCGTCTCTTAAAGAGCTTAGCTGGTGAGATTGCCAAAATTCGGAGCGACAGAACATAACTAAGTTTCGATGACACTTTGTAAAATATGCTCATTATTACATTTCAATAGACACATCGATGGTGCGGAAGTTTCTGACAACTTTGTCTGACGTTTGTGTCTTGCATCATCATCACGCCTCCTCATTCTCAGGAGCCCCTGTCTTTGCGAATGGGAAGCGCGTCTGATAGCTTCAGTGCGATCCCAGGCAGGTCATCACTCTCTGACCACTCGCCCGGCCTGCATTACTCCGTTCATCCGAAAAGGTGATGAGAACAACAGAGCGAACAAAGGTGCTGCTGATAATTCGGTAGGAGCGACTGAGGCAGAGGCTGTCGCCTTAGGGTACGTTCTGGGCTCTGGGCAAGCTTCTGGTCAACCGTGCTTGTGGTCCGAAATCGCCACTATTTCTCACCAATTGTGGTAATTCCCAGGTCGAGCAGCATTGTTGACCAGAAGTTTGCCCAGAGCCCAGAGCGTACCCTTAGGCTCAGCTGCATCTACCCTGTACCCTCATCTGCATCTACCCTGTACCCTCATCTGCATCTACCCTGTACCCTCATCTGCATCTACCCTGTACCCTCATCTGCATCTACCCTGTACCCTCATCTGCATCTACCCTGTACCCTCATCTGCATCTACCCTGTACCCTCATCTGCATTTAACCTTAGTCCGGCTTGAGCTCAGCAGCCAACGCAACGCACTCGATCAGTGAATTCATAAGCTTTGGCCAATTACGTTGCCTCTTCTGACTTCCAAACTCCTTTTTTTTCCCCGTTGTTGTTGCTTCTCCACACCCTATACATACGCGAATATGTTGGGAGCCTCCCGCACTGTGTCTCCCTCCCTCTCCTGCTAATAGTGCCCACCCCTCATTTTCCATCGCAGCAACCAAGGTGTATCGCCTGCAGCAGCCACAGGTGTCCGCAGTCACCGACTCTCCCGCTACTGCCTTGATAGGCCGAGAAGGAAGAGAGGGAGGTGACAGCCAGGCACCATTGGGCTTGCGGTGTGAGGAAAGCTCACTGGGGCGGCTGAGACAGCTGGAGAGCACTGAGCTCTGTGGCTTGCTGCTGCTGGGCGATGGACATGGACCTTCTAATGCTGCGACGAGAGATCAAAGAGGGGTGCATGAGAATACGCATGGAAGGGGGAGTTTGTGGGGGAGCAGCAAAGGGGCGACTGCGGAAGATGTGGAAAAGGGTGAATCGGGACGGAAACAGAAAGAGAAGCAGAAGGATGGGGGGAGAGCGCAGGTGACAAGCAAGCAGCTTGAGATGTTGCAGCTGGCGAACGATGAGGTGGGTGCGGCGGTGGGTGACGGCAATTGTTGCCCAGCAATGGGTTGGAAGCGCCGTAGCAAATTGGTCAGATCAATCTGTTCCCTTTCTTCCAGATGCATCTTACTAAATAGCAGGCAGGATAAAAAAGGCTGTCCATTGCTTCCGCTTGGCATTGTTGATGTTAGTAGTATCGACCATGTCTGTACGACTATTGGTCTAAGTTGCCAACGTGCGAGCACAACTCTCCTTCAAATTCACCTCTTGACTGTTCGATCTAATGTACCCGTTCCATCGCTTGATCTGCTGCTGTCTGCTCCCATCCCATGCAGATGGCACGAGGGCGATACACGGAGGCAATCGCTATCTACAACAAGGTCAGGGACGCGGCCTGATAACCGTCACCATTTTCTTGACTCCTTGATAGCAGTTTTTACGTCTAGATTACTGCACTTCATCCATCTTCCTCCATTCCACTCGTTTATCCGACTGCACTTCTCCCTTCACATGTCTGTCCCTGCCTCCCATGTATGGCTCCTTCCTACCTGTTTGTCCGTTGATCCTCCAATCACCGCTTGACAGCTGGCCTCCGCTCCCTCTCTGAAGGATCAAGTGCTTGTGGGTCGAGGCTCCTGCCACAGTGCACTGGGGCAGTTCGACAAGGCACTAGCTGACCTGTCCACTGTAGGGATTGCATGTCTCCTGTCCCCTTCGCTTCCGCTCTTATTATGTCCCATTGTGTCCACTTATTTTGTTGTCAGCAGACCTATGATTAAGCTAACCCTTCAACCTCTTGTGCTATGCTCTGCTGTCAGGCTCTGTCAACAAACCCTACCAGCACAGCCGCCTTCATGGCTCGAGCGGGCACTTATTTCAAGATGAACAAGAATGTTGAGGTGAATGTGATGATGTATGGTGGCAACGTGCGGTAGCGGGAGACCACTTCATTAGGTGACGGCGTCATACATGCATGATGTCTCATCCAGTAGACGGGACAAGAAACGCTGTCATCCCCTTGCTTACTGCCTGATGTCATTAGGCTCACTGGTAGACCAGACCAATTGTGCAGCCGTGTGGTTTTTTAGGATCATCCGTGCATGACAGGCAAGCTGCCATGGTCCATACTTTGAATATGCATGTTGTCATGGTGGATACTTTCATAATGCATATTGCCATTGTGCTCCCGATCGCACCAGATGTTGTCCTGTCTCATGGTGCATCCGCCATTGGCTATGCTGCCATGCCAGCAGGCATCCTGAATTGACACAGCTGCTGCCATCCCTCATTTCGTCTCACCCCTCTGCCCTCTGTTTTATTCAACACCCATGTCTTGAAGGCCATAGTGGACTATTCGCGAGTCATTGACCTGGACCCCTCCAATGCCGAAGCTGTCAGGTGGCGAGGTGGGTACCGGAGATGGGGGGGAGATACAGGATTGGTGATTCATCTATTATGCTCACTGCCACATTCCACTCAGTTGCACGTGCTACCAGCTGCAATTACCCCCCACACTCGCTCTCCCTTCCCATTCCATAGCCATCTCTCCCTGGCCTCCTATCGCCTCCCTATCCCCCTACCAGGCATCTTGTCATTCAATCTAAAGTACTACTATGCAGCTGAGAAGGACTTTCAGCAAGCCATTCTCCTTGACCCCTCTCTGCCTTTCATATATCGAGGACTAGTAAGTTGCTCCCTGCATGGTGCTTTTTCGATCTCCTGATGCATGGAGGAAAGTACCTTCTTTTTCTGTGAGAGCTTGGTTCCAGCATCCTTTTTGCTCAATCCGTTTCTCGTCCAATTCCCTCTCTCCCTCTCTCTCCACCATCCCTCCCACTTCCTCACCCTAGGGCCTTGCCATAGGAGGCAGTGGGAGGTGGCGGGATTCCCAGGCAGTGTTTGCAGAGGGTGTGAGGCTGCACCCCCAGGATGCGGATCTGTGGCATTCCAAGGGGCGCGCGCACAAGGAGGTGGGCGAGGTGGCGAACGCCATAGAGGCACTTGAGCGGGCGCTGCAGATTCGAAAGTGAGTGCGCACAAGGAGGTGGGCGAGGTGGAGCACACATAAGAGGCACTTGAGAGGGCGCTTCAGATCAGAAAGTGAGTGCCGTGGATGGCTTCTGAGGCACCTCAAAAAGGACGTGGGCGAAGTGCCGTGTATATGATGGCAGCCGTGGTGAGTTTCTATAGTGCGTGCGTGTGTGCCAACACTCCCGACATACCTTGGAAACAGCCCTGCATTCTCGCTAGCGAACCATGCATGTTACCCTAGTAACCTAGTTTCCTGCATCTATCCCTACAATCCCTACATCTTTCGTTTCCTTTGCTGGTACCTATTCTTCTGGAAGCATGCGTGCACACACAAAGTTGGCAAGGCTTACATCTTCTCTCTGTTCGCATCTGTGCTTTTCTGCGTGCACGGCACAGGGCAGTGGCGACCTATCAGGAGCTTGTGGCTGTCAGCCGATTCGTGGGTGACTACAGGTGAGCTGCTCGTTTTTGCACTGTCAGGGTGTTTTTTCGGGGGGATTTTTTGTGCTTTCTTGCTGTCGGGATGTATACCACATATGGAGCTCCATCTTGGTGTTTTATCTGTGTGCCTCTCTTGATGACCTATATATAAAGACCAGGTTTCGTCTTTGCCATGTTTTCCCTTGCATCTTTTCCTCTTCTACTTTCCTTCTCCCGTCACTCCCTCCTCTCAGGGCCGCCATACGCTATGCACGAGAGGGGTTGAAACTGGACAGTGGAGACATGGAGCTCGTTCATGCCCACGCCAGCAGCCTGCATGCCCTGGGCGACCTCGCTGAAGCTGTGCGCATCATCCCACACCCACACCTCCCCAAGCTGTGCTGTTCCCGTTCTATCCAATTGTGATCCGCCACACACTGTGCTGTTCCCGTATGTGACTTCCATAATGTCCTTTCCGTTCACAATCTCACAGCACACCGCCCTCATCAAAACCCCCCACCACCCTCGTGTGCTCTGCACACCATCCTTGTGCTGTGCTGTGATGCCCACAGATGCGCAAGTACCAGGCAGCGTTGGCACTGCAACCAAGGGACCAGGAGGCGCAGGCTCTCCAGCACTCCATGTTCTACCAGGCATGTTCTACCAGGCATGTTTCAGCAGTGCAGTGTTTTTATTGTGCTTTTTGTCCCACTGCCAAAGCCTCACCCGCTCCCACTCATCTCCCTTTTTCATATGGTTCCCTTTCTTCCATGCCTGTACAACTCCCCTTCTCCTCTCAGAGGGAGGTTCTGGCCTACACCATTGCTCGCTTGCAGCAACCGCTCTCCTTCATCCGCTTCGACTGGGACTTTACTGCTGAGTTCAGAGTATGTATGGCGACCCCTTACCACCCCCAACACATGGGTGATTTTTGACGCGCCTAAAAAAAAACTCTCCTCCATCCGCTTCGACTGTGACTTCACTGCTGAGTTTAGAGTATGGCCACGCCACGCCTTACCAACCCAAACACAGCCATCCTACCTAATCACTGGTTGTATCTATTTCCATAACTACAACCATACTCACTGGCCTTTCATTCATCGTGCAACCATAACAACGCTCAGCCATAGGCATGACAGCCGCATGGTATTGCTATATTTTCCCATCACATCCCGCCTTGTTTCTCCCCCTTCACTCCCCCCTGATCTTTCCTCCTCAACCATATCTCCTCACATATCACCCCCCCACCGCAACAGGAGGCATGGACCAAGAAGGACCCTATAGCAACGCTGCCAGGCTACCAGCCCCTCTCGGTCACTGCACGCCAATCACAGCATGCCACGTTGCAGTCCCTGCCCAAGCTGTCACGAGAAGCGTTGGATCTGATCGAAGCAGCGGACAGGATTGGCCAGCGGGCCCACTACCACTGCGATGCTTTCATGGAAAACAGGCAGCAGGTAACAGCAGAGATATGCCAACATGCTTTCCCTCTTGCTTTTTGTCTCTTCCTCGCATTTCCTCTCTTCCCCTTATTGCCGTCAGTAACTCTGTTCCTGTTCTCTCTCCACCCCACTCCCTGTCCCTTCCCTTACTTCAGCTGCGCATGGCAGGGCTGGCGGCCTCAGACGTGATGCACCAGGTTGCGTGCGGCACACTCTTTCATCCCACATGTCTCTCCCATTCCCCATTCCCCCACATTTCTCCCGTCCCGCCCTCTCTTACTTCAGCTGCGCATGGCAGGGCTGGCAGCACTGGACGTGATGCAGCAGGTGAGTCAATTCTTCTCTTTCCCAGTGCTTGTCACTAGGGGCGTTGTAGGAGGTGTGCAGTCTTTCAATGCAAGGCACGGTAGTCACTGGCTAGTAATGCTGTGTGATTGAAGGAGTTGTGGTGAATATGTAAGCTTACACTTACTATGTGTGTGTGCCATGCCATTCATTTGTGCCATTCCATTTTTTGTAAGTATGTGTGCCATTCATTTGTCACTCCATGTGTGTGCGTGCCATGGTGCAGGCAAGGGCAACATGGGATGCTATGGAACAGGAGCAGCAAGAGGGAGAGGAGGCAGCAGGTGGTGACAGAGTCACAGACGCTAAAACAACCAAGGAAAACGATACACCAGGAGGAGGGGGAGGCGGCGGAGGGGTAGAAGGCAGGGAGAAGCAGAGGCAAAAGGGAAGAGACAGTTTGGCCAAGGGCAATTGGAAAAGCAGCAGCAGCAGCAGCAGAATCAAGAGGACAGGCAGTGGGGTGCTGAAGGGGTGGAGGGATGTGTACGAGGTGATCACGAGATGGAGGCAGATCTCCGATCCAACGGATGCTGTGCTCTGGAAGGACCAACTCAAGTGCGTGCCACTGCCATCGCTCGTTGTGGTCGGATGCCACAATAACCACAATGCCGTGTGACCGCCAGTATGATCTCTCCTCATTCACGTTCTCAGCCGAGTATCATCGTTTGATATCATCGTTTGATATCATCGTTTGATATCATCGTTTGATATCATCGCTCATTTACTTGTAATCAGTACATGCATTTTTGTCAAATGAGCAGAGTCGGCATGGGATGGCAAGCTTAACGACACAATCCTGATGGCATGTGACCGTGTCTCATGGCGTGGGGGGTGGTGTGCCATGTTCTTTCCTCTGCAGGAATCGCTTTGCGCAGGGCTTTCGGTCGTCCACGCCCATCAAGGTGTGGGATCTGCAGACCGTCAAGTATTACCCTGTGTTCAACAAGTGAGTACTACCTCCTAGCACACCTCACCACACCTCTCTTGCACTGCCTCTGCTTCGCTGCAGACCGTCAAGTACTACCCTGTCTTCAACAAGTGAGCACTAGTATTACCTCCTAGCACACCTCTTCTGCACTGCCTCAGCTTCTCTGTGGTCTCTCCCCCCCCCTGCAGCCACGTTTTCCACTCCTGAAATCCGGTTCAATGTGTGGCAGGTCGTTTGAGGCCATGCGCGAGGCGCTACTGGAGTCAGAGAAGGCCTTTGCAAACAACCAGCCCTTTGCTGTGCCGCGCAACACACGTGGCGACATGGTGAGTGAGTGGGGTGCACCTGTCCCATGAAACACACAAGGCGATATGCCGAGTGAAATGCGCATGAGTGTGCAGTGCAGCGTATGAGCGGGCGGTGCAGCGTATGAGCGCGCGGTGCAGTGTATGAGCGCGCGGTGCAGCGTATGAGCGGGCGTTGCAGCGTATGAGCGGGCGGTGCAGCGTATGAGCGGGCGGTGCAGCGTATGAGCGGGCGGTGCAGCGTATGAGCGGGCGGTGCAGCGTATGAGCGCGCGGAGCAGCGTATGAGCGGGCAGTGCAGCGTATGAGCGCGCGGAGCAGCGTATGAGCGGGCGGTGCAGCCCTTGATGAGGCTGTGGGAAAGGACTTTCTGGTTTTGAGGCGCCTCAACACTAGATTCCCCTCGCCCAATACTCCCCATCCCCAATCAGATCACCAGGGCGGCTGACCTGCAGGCCCTTCATCAGGCTGTGGGAAAGGACTTTCTCGTCCAAGCACCCTGCTACAGCCATGCCGCTCCAGGGTACGCCTTCCCTGCTACAGCTGAGCATTTGAGCAGTACTGTATGTCCTGTTCCATGCCCCAACCATGAGGTCTCAAAGTGCATGCCACACGTATTGCTTTGCGTTCTCATCTCATCGCCTCTCTAACCTCCTCACCGTTTCCTAACTCATGCATGCCCATGCCCATGCAGGAAGGACCTGACCGGGTCAATGTTTGAAATCCTTAAGACGTAAGCCATTGCCGCATGTTTTTTCAACTCTGCCACTTCCCCACGCATCAGCCAGAGCACGCTGTTTACCACCCAGTTCCCATCAGCTTACTTTGCTTGCACACTCTTGTAATTAGCCGCTTACATGGCATTGCCATTCATGACATGTACGGGCATGTGCTCAATGAATACATGACAGGTGAGGCCACGTGCTAACCCACAATTTCCCCTCACATACTCTCTCATCCCTCCACACCATCTTTCCCTGTCCATTCCCACTACTCCCTTCTCTTCTTTTCCGCTGAAGCTCCATCTGTCTTTCACGCACCTATCCTCCATCTCTTTTTCTGCATGCACCCATTTAACCACCCACTCACCACATTCACTCTCCTCTGTCTATCTGCCTGTGCCATCCCAGTACACATGCATTCAGCTTCCACACACACACACCAAGATAACTTCTCCCCCAACTCGCCCCTGTTTGTCTGCCTGCACCATCCCAGCACACACGCCTTCAGCTTCTACACACACACACCAGTCAGCCCCCGGCGGTGGGACGACTTCGACCAGGAGCTCACGGCTGCATGGCAGGTCAGCCATGCATGACTCATTTTTAAAGACGTCTCAAAACACTGCTGCATGACAGGTCAGCCATGCATATCTCATAGGCATGTGCATCACTTTTGCCTGTCGGTCCTTCTCCCCGAAAGAATCTCTTTCGTCTCTTGTTGGTTTTTTCTGCCGAGCCATGCAGCCTCTTCCACTGCTGTATGCACAGATGCCTCTGGATTGATATTCCATCCATTCCTGGTTTTACATCCTCCCTTTCACCAGGCACTGTCTGCAGCGGTGCTGCATGCACAGATGCCTCTGAATTCATATTCGATTCATTCCTGGTTTCCCATCCTCCCTCCCACCAGGCGCTGTGTGCGGCAGTGCTGGACGCACACACAGAAGGAGCTGACCCGCATCGCTACCGTCAAACAATTCAAGACGCCATCCTCCGGCTGGGGTACTTCTGGTCAGTAAGGCACACTGTGCTGCGCGTGTGTGGCCAGTGGGGTACACTGTGCTGTGCTTGCCTGGTCAATTTAGTGGCCGCATATCCGCTTTTGCCAATTCAAGTCGCCATCCTCAGGCTGGGGTACTTCTGGTCAGTACATTACACGTCCATGGTTGTTTATTCTTGGGGGTATATTGCTATGTGTTCATGGCAGGGGTGATGTGAGTAGTTGCCGTGGCCCGTGCACAGTGAGAAGCGCTACAGGTTCATTATTGTTTTGGATGTCCATCTCTTTTCATGCGTCATCCCTGCATGACCCTCATTCACATCCGCGGTTCCTCACTGTTATTCCTCTCCTTTTTTCCTTCTCCACACAAGGTTCCAGCTTATGCCTTTGACTCGCAGGTCAACCATGGTGGGGCTGTGGTGCTTTTTGAGTCACTACAAATCAACCCCACGGTTACTCTTCTCCCTCTCGCCCTCCACTACACCAGGTTCCAGCTCATGCCGTTGACTCGCGGGTCCGCCATGGTGGGGGTGGTCTCCATCCTCGGCCTGTCCATGGCTGCTGACATGGAAACCACAACGCTCATCCCCCATGGGGTGCAGGTAGGCTGAGGAGTCCTATTGGAGGCATGGTTGCACTCGAGGCTGGAACATTCTATACTCTTTCAGCCAAATGTGTTGACTTGACACATGACGCCATTGTCAGTAAGGGACGACTGCAAACGTCAGGTGCAAAGCACACTGGATAGCACCCCCAGTGGTTCAATTGATTTACAGTGACAGGAAGCACACACTCTTGACTCTGAAGGTTTTCAGGAAGAACCTTTTCCCTGGTACGATCAATTACTGAGTAATTGTTTTATTCATACCTCTACCATCCAGGTGGACTGGGAGGCTTTACTCGTGTCTCGCTTTGAAGACTTCAATGCCTCCATTGCCCCATGGCTCTTTGCCTCTACTCAAAGCTCACCCTGGGGTCTTGCCCCTATTGAGGGCGTCTTATCCACAACGCACCATGTGATTGCAGCGTTGAGCTACGATAGAAAGCATAAAAGGTGACCATATGCTGGCTGCCTTATTTCACAACATTCTCTTTTACTGTATTACCCCGGATAGAAGCGCAGGTGCGCTTATAATAAAGCAATGTTTTTTAGGGGGGTGCGCTTCTACTTGAGTCATTTTTATGAGCGCATGCGCTTGTAAAAGGAAAAAAATAAAATTCACTTTTAAACATACCAAATAGAAGCCCGCAATCAGGCGAATTCAATCGACCATGCAACACGTGGGATCGTGCATTGGTTTTCAGTCAAAAGTAGCAGTGGTTCGGTTTCCAACCGCACATTTTTGTCTAGAACCATCGAACGTGACAACAGTGACGGGGATGTTGCTGTGCGGCCCAATCACAGCCGCATGCCCTGCGTGGCATGTGCATTTCTTCCGAACACTCTCGAAGGGTGGGGAAGATTCCCTGCCAGCGCTGCGTTTATGCTGCCACGCAGGGTCCTCTACGGGGGTAGGCAGGGGTTTCTCGCCTGTCATTGACGAGGACCCCGAGGCGCCAACCTTACGTGGTCCCCTTCGTTGCCCATTTGTGCACCCTCTTTTTTTTTTTTTTTTTTTTTTTTTTTTTTTCATTCGGATTCCAGTCTAGGCCGCCTGGCTGGCGAAGCCATGGCAGAATTCAGCGGGACGCACTTCCTCTTCAAGAAAAAACAAGCTCGCCCGTGGCAACTTACCGACGACGGGTGGTATACCCGTGAGCCAGTAGCGCCTCCAGTGCCACCTGAACCCCCTGCGCCCCCTGCTCCTCCTGCTCCTCCTGCACCTCCTGCTCCTCCTGCTCCTCCCGCTCCTCCCGCTCGTCCGAATCCGCCTGATATCGGTGCCAGTGCTCACCAACGGCCCGTGCTCCACCTGTATTTACCAGCCACTTTCGACGAGTGGCTGTCTGAACCGGACACACCCAAGGCCCCCAATGTGTTCATCCAGGCTCCGCCGCCTGCACCACGGTGGGGACAGCTTGAAGCCTGCACGTGGGACGAGTCGGCTGTGGGCGCCGACGATGACGTGGCCGCCGATAAACAAAACAGCAGCGACGGCGACGGTGTCGGCGACGGTGGAGCGGGCGCCGAGGAGGACGTGTTCCCAGATCGTGGTGCAACTGCCGAGGACGACGACGGTGTGGAGTCATGTTGGCACGACGCACCACGCGAGAAGATGCCGATACCGACGTATCCGCCGATTAACAAAAAACGACCCCACCCCTCCTCCCAGAACCGAGATGCCCACCCCCCCTCTCCCAGGCACAAGCCGTCTCAACATAAACGGCAGTCCTACGCCTCCCATGAGAAAATCAGGTGGCTCGTGCAGCTGGAGCTGGTGGCATCGATAAGCGAGGTCGCGCGGGAGTCCGGCATACACCGCAAATGCCTGACGAAGTGGAAAACCCAAGTGGAGGAGCTCAAGGTTTCACACGCCGCATGGTGTCGACTTCATGGGCGCAGGAGGTCTTCTTGGTATAGATCCATGGAGTTAAATGTGTACGCTCAACTCCTCGACTGGCGACGCCGCGGTGTTGCAGTTTCAGTCGGCCGGCTCCAAGATTGGTCATGCAAAGTGATGAAGGTGCTGTTCCGCAAGCAATGGAACCTCAGCGTGCGCATGAAAACTAAGGTGGCGCAAAAAACACAGGAGCGTAAGTGCCTCGTTTCCCGCTTTCCTCGAGCGAATTCGCATGGTTTCAGAGTTGTTGCTCCCGTGTGGATATCTTTATCTTGTAGCGGTACTCATCCTTCTTCCTATCCGTCCTTCTCTCCCCGTACGCAGACGTGGCGACGCAGTGCAAAGAATTTTGGCAGTTCGTCCGCGACGCACGCAACGAGTACGCGATCGACAATCGATACATAATCAACGCCGACCAGACGCCTCTTAGGTTGGAGATGCCGGCCACTACCACCGTGGAGCAGACGGGCTTGAAGTCGGTGCCCATCCGCAGCGGTGGTTACCAGAAAGAAAGAGTCACCGTGATGCTGGCGTGCACGGCGACGGGCGAGAAGTTGAAGCCATGGGTGTTTTTCAAGCGCAAGACACTACCAAAGGGTGACTTCCCGAACAGTAAGCACATGTTCTTGTGCGTGTTTTGGATGTTCAAAACAAAAAATGGATTAACCACCGCTTGCTTGTGTGCAGATGTCGTGGTCGGCTGCCAAGCAAACGGGTGGATGGAGGCCACAGGCATCATCCATGTCAGAATGTTGTATTTCTCTAGTCTGCAGTGGGGTACTCTATAGTGAGTACAGCCCTGTTAGGGTTTGCTATACGTACTCAACTGCCTGCTAGTGAAACTCCTCTTCTCTGTTTTCATCTCCTTCTTCCATTTCTCTTTCGTGTACCCTAAACCCTAGCCATGGCTACTAAGTCTTAGCTAGGCTTCTGACAATCCAGTGGCTCGATGAGGGCGTGGTGCCGTTCCTGAAACCGAAATTCGGCGTGCAGAGTCGGAGCGCCATGCTAGTACTCGACTCCTACCGTGGTCACCTTACCAAGGAATTCAAGGCGAGATTCGCGGCGCTCAACATCATGCCGGCGGTCATCCCAGTGGGATGCACGGCAGACGTGCAGCCGCTCGATGTGTCGGTGAACAAGAGCTTCAAAGCGAGTGTTCGCCAGCAGTACCAGTCCTGGTTTGAGGTAAATTAAAACCAACTATTGCGCCAACTTTTTTGACAGCATGAACATTCTGACACCTGCAGGTGAGCGACGACATGTCCTCCCATCTCCCCTTCGTGTGCTTGTCGGCCTGCTTGTGGACTAATGTGTTCCCCACTCCCTTTCATGTGGTGCAGAGAACATAAAAAAACCACCCCCGACGGTGGTGCTCAAGTGGATTTCACGGGCGTGGAAGGTCGTGCCCGCCGACCTGATTAAGAAAGCATTCCTCACGTGCGGCATCAGCAATGCCCTTGACGGGAGCAAAGACCATCTGGTGATGGCGCACCGGAGAAGCCAGCTGAGCCACGAGGTAGAGGTACACGATGACATCCAAGTAGACGGGTTATGGAGCAACAACATCACGGAGCCTGAATCGGACGTGGAGGAAGAACGGGCCTAAGGCTAGACTAGGCAAGATGATGGTGTTTAGGCTCGGACAATAGTCACCATATTGTATGAAACTTTTTGTCAAACTTATATGCTATAGTCTGTTTAGGCTGTAGTGGGGTATTTCTTATAGGGTACAACACTTTTAGGTTTGCTACTTGTACCCAACTGCTTTCTAGTTCATTCATTCGCTCACATTCTAACATGGTATTCTGAGCAGGTTCCCTAGTGGGAACAGTTTTTTTTTTTTAGGGCCCACCACAATTTTTTTTCCTGCCCTGCCCGAAGCGCGCATCGCGCCCTGCCCGAAACGCGCCTTGCGTCCTGCCCTAGTGCGGCCCGTCGCGGCCCTGCCCTGTTCGCCGCCCGTCCCCCCCCCCCCCCCCCCCCCCCCCCCCCCCCTTTTTTTGTCGCCCGTCACGGCACCTGCTGGACGCAGCCCCCACCTGCTGTCGCGGCCCTCGCCCGTCGCAGCCCCTGCCTCGCAGCCCTTGCCGTCGCCGCCCCTGCTATCGCGGCCCCTGCTATCGCCGCCCCTGCTGTCGCGGCCACATGCTATTACGGCCCCTGCTATCCCCCCCCCCCCTACTGTCGCGGCCCCTGCCGTTGCCGCCCCTGCTGGCGCGGCCCCTGCTGACGCGGCCCCTGCTGTCGTGGCCCCCTGCTGTAGCGGCCCCTGCCGTCGCCACCCCTGCTGGCGCGGCCCCTTCTGTCGCGGCCCCCTGCTGACGCGGCCCCTGCTGTCGCGGCCCCCTGCTGTCGCGGCCCCTGCCGTCGCCGCCCCTGCTGTCGCGGCCCCTGCCGTCGCGGCCCCTGCTGGCGCGGCCCCTGCTGACGCGGCCCCTGCTGTCGCAGCCCCCTGTTGTCGCGGCCCCTGCCATCGCCGCCCCTGCTGGCGCGGCCCCTTCTGTCGCGGCCCCCTGCTGACGCGGCCCCTGCTGTCGCGGCCCCCTGCTGTCGTGGCCCCTGCCGTCGCCGCCCCTGCTGGCGCGGCCCCTTTTGTCGCGGCCCCCTGCTGACGCGGCCCCTACTGTCGCGGCCCCCTACTGGCGCGGCCCCTGCTGACGCGGCCCCTGCTGACGCGGCCCCTGCTGTCGCGCCCCCAGCTGTCGCAGCCCCTGCTGTCAGTGGCCGACCCTGCACCCGCCCCTGGTAAGCGCCCACGCCGCCCTGCTGCGCCACGCCGCCAGTTGCCGCGCCGCGCCGCCCAGCCGAGCCGAGCCGCCCAGCCGAGCCGCGCCGCCCACTGAGCCGCGCCGCCCTACCGAGCCGCGCCGCCCTACCGAGCTGCGCCGCCCTACTGAGCTGCACTGCCCTGCCTGCCCTACTGCCTCTGTTGCTACTGCTGCTACTGCTCCTACTGCTACTATGGCTAGCCCCACTGTTCTCACCTTTGATGCTGAGGGACGTGCAGTTGACTTCGACGTGTGGGTTGACGACCTCCAGCTCTTTCTTCCGTGTGACTCTAGGGATGGGGTATCCCTTTTCGATCACACGTCCGGTGTCTCTGCTGCTCCTGCTGCCACTGCTGACAGTACGGTTCGCTCGCAGTGGACCACTCGTGACGCTGTTGCTCGTCTTGCTGTTCGTAGTCACCTGCCGCCTGCTGAGCGCGCGCATTTTGGCCAGTACAAGACTGCTCAGTCTTTGTACAACGCTGTAGTTGCGCGCTACTCCTCCCCTGCCACTGCTGCCCTCAGCCGCCTCATGCTGCCGTACCTTTTCCCTGACCTTGCCGCCTTTGCCATAGTTGCTGACCTCACTGCTCACCTCCGCACTAGTGACGCCCGCTACCGCGCTGCCCTTCCCACCGAGTTCTGTGCCAAGAACCCCCCCCCCATGTACATCACCCTTTACTACCTAGTCACCCGCCTCCCTGACTCCCTTTCTTCAGGCAGGGACCACTTTCACTCCCTTTGCCCCACCGAGCTCACTATCGACCTGCTAGAGGAGCGCCTAGC